GACAGTAGTGCAGGCAGAAGCAAGAGTTTTAAAAAGTAGGCAAATTGTAGCTTAATAGTTCATAGAGAAGTATAGCTATAAAATTAAAAAATTAGGTAACTGAGTTCATCACTATTCCATATTACTTAACAATATTGGAGGCTAGGCATAGATTTGTTTCCTAACTAGAGAACTCCCTTATTTCAGAAGGAATTCTGTTGTAGTGACGTGCAGGGAGCACTTTTAAGGGGCCCTTTGGACCATGCATTTTTCTGTCCTGTCCTTGTTGCTGAATACTCCCACTACATTATGTTTGTGTCTTGAGTTTTCCAAGTGGTGATTCATTCTTGGTTTTGGACTGTCATCTTAGTTCATTTGTGAGAATGCTGTGCTCTTTAGGGATATAAACTACTCAGTCTCTTGGTGATTCTTTTTTCTCCTTTGTAAAAATAATGTAGGTGGATTAAAACATCCAAGACAGGGGCACCTGGGTGGCTCAATGGGTTAAGCCTCTGCCTTCGGCTCAGGTCATGGTCTCAGGGTCCTGGAATCTAACCCTGCATGGGGCTCTCTGCCAGGCAGGGAGCCTGCTTCCCCCGCCCCCGCTCTCTGCCTGCCTGCCTGCCTACTTGTGATCTCTGTCTGTCAAATACATAAATAAAATCTTTAAAAAAAAAAAAAATCCAAGACAAAGTCTACAAACTGGTGGCTTGTGGAGCCAGATCTGGTGAATGAATTTGTTTGGCTGTAATTGGCTTTACATTTCTCAATTAAGAGACTTTTATGCATAGTAACATGCCTGTGGTACAGCATTCAGAAGGTGTAAGGATGGACATGGATATTTAAAGGTAGTTTTAATTCCTGTTCCTCTTTGTACCATTCACCTAGTTACTTTCTTTGGAGATGTTCAGAACGACCGCATGTTTGTGAATCATTCCAGAGTTATTACTTATACATAGAAGCATAATAGTATATTTACCTTTTTGTTTTAAATCAAATGGTTGCAAACTATATACTTTGTTCTCTGTCTTTCCTTTTTTTCCCCCATTTAATCTATCTTGGGAATCATTCTATATCAATATACCTAGAACTATCTCCTTTGTAACAAAACATAACATTCCTTTGTATAGATACAGCCCACTATCTTTTGATTTTTCCTCTCTTTCCTTCCCCCCCGTTCCTGTCTTTCTTTCAGTCTTTTTTCCCCTTATGTCTCTCCTCCCCTTCCTGTCTTTTCAATTAAATAAGCCAATTCAAACAATAGTATCCTTCCATATTAGTATTCAGGGATTTTGAATAATTTATTTATTTTGCGTATTTTTTCCATGTGTACTTTAGAATTATGTGCTGTATTCTTTGCTTAGATTTTATTTTTTTCTTGGAAGTTTTATTCTAATCATCTTATTTTTGTTATTATAAATGGGATTGTTTTCTATCATTACATCTATTATTTATAGATCCTGGGTTTTAATTTATTATTTTTATATATAGCCTTTACTCAAATTCCTCTGTTTTTTGTAAGACTTTATAGTCAGTTTCTTTGGATTTTCCTGGTATCTACTCATATCATTTGCAAATGATAATTTTATTTTCTTTTTTCTGTTTTTAAACTTTTTTCTTTCTTGACTGATGACATTGGCCACTACCTTCAGGATATGGTTAAATATTTGTGGTAAAAAATGGCAGTCCTTTTTTGTTCCTAATTGTCCGTATTTCTTGGGTTTTTCTATTATTATACATGATGCTGACTTTGAATTGAATTTTTTGTATCTTATCATATTAAGGTAGTTGGCATAGTGTTTATTTCAAAATTAAAGAAAAAAAAGAGGGGCGCCTGGGTGGCTCAGTGGGTTAAGCCGCTGCCTTCGGCTCGGGTCATGATCTCGGGGTCCTGGGATCGAGCCCCCCATCGGGCTCTCTGCTCAGTGGAAGCCTGCTTCCTCCTCTCTCTCTGCCTGCCTCTCTGCCTGCTTGTGATCTCTCTCTGTCAAATAAATAAATAAAAATCTTTAAAAAAAAAAGATAAATTAAAAAAAAAAAAAAGATCTTATATTGACAGAACAGTTGCAAGGTTAATACACAGAATTTTTTCCTTCCTGAACCATTTGAGGGTAAGTTGCCAGCCAACCTGATAGGCTGTTGCCTCCCACCCAATACTTTAGTGTTTATTTCCTCTATACAAGTACTATCTTATGTAATCATATATAACCATCAAAATCAGGAAATTAACACTGATACATTACTACCATCTAATCTTCAGACTCCATTCATGTTTCATCACTTGTCTTAATAATATCCTTTTATAGCCAAATTCAGTTCACAATCTTGTATTACATTTGGTTTTCATGTCTTTTTAGGCTCCTTCAGTCTAAAACAGTCTTTCCTTGACTTTTATGACCTGACACTTAAACATTACAAGAAAGTTAATGTAAAATGTCCTTCAACTTGAATTTGCCTAATATTTCCTTATGATTGATTTCAGATTATGCATCTTTGGCAGAAAGAAGTATCACAGAGGTGTTCTGTGATCACCAAGAAAAAATCACTAATATTATTATTCTTTTTTATTTATCTTTCTAGGCAACTCCATCTTCTCTGTAATCTTTCTCTTAAACAGTTCTAGGTCTTTTGTTTTTATTAAATATTTAGCTAATCCAATATGTGAATTGGTAGAAGGATGGGGAAGCAAGTGTACTGGGAACACAAGGAGTTTTTAATCACAGTAAAGACTTTCCAGTATTATGGGCTGAAGTTTCACAATCATCCAGGAACCATGATGGTGGCAGAAAAACAAAACTAGCCAAAGGATATAGAGAGGAAGAAATTGGTCATTGATTTTATTATTACTTTGATTTTTATAATTATATGGCTAGGTTATTGTTTTTATTAAAGCCATTTTGAAGAGTATATAGAATTCTATGTCAAAGCATTGTTTGGTCAAAGAAGTTGGGCTATCATATCCTTTTGACAAGACTTTCATTTTTGTCAGCTTTTATTATTCCTTTTTTTTAGCAGGTGGATATGAGGCAGATGGGGATGAGGGATAGAGAGAGAGAGAGAGATTTTCTCTCCCTCTCTCTCTTTTAAAAGATTTTATTTATTTGGGAGAGAGAGAGAGAGTGAGAGAGAGAGCATGAGCAGAGAGGTGAGGGAGAAGCAGGCTTTCTGCTGAGCAGGAAGTCTGATGAGGGCCTCAGTCCCAGGACCCTGGGATCATGACTTGAGCCAAAGGCAGACGCTTAACTGACTGAGCTACCCAGGCCCCCCAGGGAGAGAGAATCTTAAGCAGGCTCCATGCCCAGCGCTGAGCCTGAGTTGGGGCTCGATCTCACAATCCTGAGATCATGACCTGAGCTGAAATCAAGAGTTGGAAGCTTAACTGACTGAGCCACCCAGGCACCCCTCATTTTTATCAGCTTTAAATGCAATGTATTATTATGCTTACATAAAATAATGAATCTCTTTGTAGAATACATAATTTCAAAGGTTTTATGATCATTAAGTTTGGGTAGTATAGATATTTGATGTCTTTTCATCTGTGATTGTTTTTGGAGTATTTTTAATTCTGTAAGAAAAAAATAACCTTTCTTTAATTGCAATTTTAAGAGCTTATTGAAATAAAAACAAAACCAGCACTACTTGTATCTTGAAAATTATAAGATCCTTAGTAAATTGGATTTTGTGTTCAATATGGTACTGAAAACATAGAAAGGAGTGTTATTCAAACTGAGTAGAAGTAAGTTTAGTGGTTCACTCACTAAACTTTAGTTGGACAATCCAGTTTCTTAAGGATGTGTTAAGGTCATCATTAAATATAAGTTCTCGCTCACTTAAATAGAAAGCACTGTGGAAATATAAATAATTGTTATCTGTGTTAACGTAATAGAAATGGAGGGGGAAAGCTTATGAGAATAGTGAAATTGATGGTTATCCTTGAGGGCCCTTCAGTCCTTTCTGCCCTATTCTTAGTGGTATTCTAGTGGTGTAACTCTAAAGGAGTTACTTTAACAAGTGAGTGTTTGTAACATAGTTTCAGTTCCTTAAGTGGAAGATACTATTTCAATTCTAAATGTCCTTTTAGATATTCAGGAAAGCCATTCTTGCTAGCTGTTTTTCTGAAGATGAAAATTTTATGGTTTGTTTACATATTAAAATGTAGGGTGTTTTCTTTAATTATTCCTTGAAGGGGCCAGGAACCTATAGAGGGCTGTGGTTTCTGATTTTCCTTTTTTGAACTTTTACTTTTTTCCTGCATATTAAATCTCCTAAAAGCGGGTGGGGTGAAAGGTGTGGATTGAGAGAAGGCAGCTGTTTATTGTTTGTGGGGGAGGTCCAGAGTAAAGTCTTTCAAAACAATCTTGAATCCGTCATAAGATTTACATATGTGGTGAAGTTCTGAGAACTGTTACTTTGCAGTGGTATTAGAGGAACTCAGGATTTTACCATTCCCTTTCCCCATCTTCACTTTTATAAAAGAGAAGCCCCCTCAATGCCACAAACACTTGAGCAGACTGTACTGTACCCTTTGCTTAATGTCTGCATTTATATTGGTTGTTTTAGATTATAGAATCTTAGAGGATACAGTCTACCTTGATCTGAAGTATCCCTGATCTGAAGTAAAATGCATATATTTTTTAAAGATTTTATGTATTTATTTGACAGATTACAGAGAGTAGGCAGAGAGGCAGTCAGAGAGAGGAGGAAGCAGGCTCCCTGCTGAGCAGAGAGCCCGATGTGGGGCTTGATCCCAGGACCCTGGGATCATGACCTGAGCCCAAGGCAGAGGGTTTAAGCCACTGAGCCACCCAGGTGCTCCTAAAATGCGTATTTAAAAAAAAAACAAACTTTTCCCCCCTTGCAATCAGTGCCGTTCTATATACTTACATACCTTGTCACCCATATGTAAAAGGAAGTGTATTTGCATCTAAGTATCCAGTCTCCCAAAGTTTCTGTCTTCAACTGGGTTAAAAAGTTTTTTAATTTGGTCTAATCTTAGCTTTGTCTTTCTTTTCCCCACTTAGGCCCAGATTGCTTTCCTTCAGGGGGAAAGAAAGGGTCAAGAAATTTTGAAGAAAGATCTTGTGAGGAGGATCAAAATGCTGGAGTACGCTCTTAAACAGGAAAGGTAATTCAGTGAAATGGAAGATGATGTTCTCTGTAAAGATTGGAGTAATTTTTCTGTCATTCCTAAAACAAATCCAAATTTTAATACTTAATACTTTTGAATTCAGGAAATAGTATCTGTATTACACATTTTAAAATGGTTATAATATGTTAATTTATTGTTCTTGTGATTGTTTAGTAATCACGACCAATAAATTGATTTATATGATTTATTTAAGAAATTTCACATTTTTCTTCTGTCCTGTCCTTTTTTAAGAAACTTATATGCTTTCTGAGCTGTCATTATCCATTTCTTTATGGAATTGAAATTGTTTTTGAGTTGTAAAGGAAATTTCTGTGATGCTTACTCCCTCATCAACTAATATTATTTAATTTGATATGTTTTCTTTGGGAAAAAATGTAGACTGTCTTGAGAACCTTTTTATCTTTTTCTAGACTTTTTTGGTATTTTGTTCCTTTGCTGTCAGCTATTCCTATCTCTCCGAAGTGAACCTTATCTTTCTGTGTTGCTGGTGTCTAAGATACTCTAGTAGCTAAGCTTGGATCACAAGTAAAGGACAGCAGGTCATAGATGAGAATTTTGGAAATTTTTTATATGAATTATGGTGGTCTTTGGAATTTTTTTTTTAAGATTTTATTTATTTATTTGACAGACAGAAATCACAAGTAGGCAGAGAGGCAGGCAGAGAGAGAGGAGGAAGCAGGCTCCCCACCGAGCAGAGAGCCCGATGCGGGGCTTGATCCCAGAATCCCGGGATCATGACCTGAGCTGAAGGCAGAGGCCTTAACCCACTGAGCCACCCAGGCGCCCCTGGAATTTTTGTTTTTACATAATTTTTTATTTCTGATAATTGAGTACTTGATAGGCAATATTGAAATTCTCTATTTTGCTTGTTTTGATCACATGCTTTTCTCCTTTCTTTGAAGTTAATGGATGGGCTGTTTGCAAAACTGCCATAAAATAGCATTTAACAGAAAATATCTGTGAATACTAAGAAGCAGATTAAACTTTATTAGAACCTTTACTTGGGATCTTTGAATGGCACAGGAAATTGAAAACAGGCTGACCTCTTGGTAAAAAATAGATGATTCTTTTTATTCCTTGAGAAGTTGATTGAAAGCTGTATTGGAGAGATGGTGGAGGGAGGGAAACTACATTTTTAAAAGCATGCAGTTTGGAAATATTTTAGGTTTTAAGCAATCTAATTATAGACATCATCGAAAAGAAAGTAATAACATTAATCCTGGCAACTGTTTATTAACTACTGTGTACCAGGCCCTAAGGTTTAAAAACGAAGTAACTTGAATAGAATTGCAAAGTTGTAGGAGAGCTGTGATTCAGATCCTCAGGTCTGTCTGATTCTGACATCTATACTCTTTACCAGTACATTATTCTATCTTTGTAATACAGAAGAATTAAAATATACCTATACTAAAGTAACTAGGCATGTTTGTGTGTGTGTGTGTGTGTGTGTGTGTGTGTGTGTGTGTGTATGAGTGTGTCCCTTATCATTAAACATTTCATTAATGTATCCATCCAACTTAAGTGCCGTGCTGGAGTTGAGTGTAAACATAGGCCACTGTCCTTATCCTTGAGGGCTCAGAGTAGCAAGAAACACACTTGTAAACCACAAAAGTGCAGTTCACTGTGATAGGTGCTATGGGAGATATCTGTACAGAGTACAGTGGGGTCACAAAGAAGGGAGTGGTTATTTGGATCTGGAAGGTGGAAGTAGAAGGAAGGATATAATTGGAGAGGAGCTGAGACTTCAACAGCATCATAAAAATGAGGCGTTTACAGATAGGCAAAGTTCAGGAGGTAGAGAGGATATATTTGACAGGGAACAGAGCAGTTTGGTGTGTTACAGAAATTTGCAGTCACTGTGTGGAGGGTAGGATGTAGTTGTGATTTGGTAAGTGATAATGGTAGACGTGGGCAAGAGCCAGGTCATGGAGAACTTAACTAAGGAGTTCAGACTTTTATCTTTTTATAATAGGGAACATTGAAAGTTTTTCAAAACATTTTAATCTAAGATTTCTCAAGCTAATAGTAGTTGTAAGAGCTACATGCCTTTTACCCGGATTCACCCAGTTGACACATTTTGCTGTATTAACTGCTATGTTCACTCTGTAGGCATGTTGCTTTTTTCCTGAATCATTTGCTACTTAGATGCAGACATTATACCCCTTTGCCCCTGTATACCTCAGTATATTTCTTCTAAGAGCAAGGAGATTCCCTTATATAATTATAACTCTTTATCAAATTAAGGAAATTTAATGTCGATATAGCACTATTATCTAATACAGCCCATATTCATATGTTCCAGTTATGATCTTAATAGCATTTTTTCCCCATGAAATGTCCCAGTAATGATTTTTATAGTACTTTTATAGTACTATATTTTATAGTACTTTTTTCCTGGTCCAGGATCCAGTCTAGGGATACATATTGTATTTAGTTGTCATGCAGTTGAAAGGAGCATGGAATAGTATGAAATAGATTTTGGAAAGATCACCACTCATTATGGGGGATGGACTGGAAAAATCTGTTAATAGAAGCAGGATGAGAAATTATAACATGGTAGCTGCTGGAATAGAGGAGGCTATGAAACATTTTTTTATTTTTTTAATTTTAATTTTATTTATTTACTTATTTGTGTTTTTTTAAAGATTTTTTTTTTATTTGTCAGAGAGAGAGAGCGAGCACAGGCAGACAGAGTAGCCCACAGCGGCAGAGGGAGAAGCAGGCTCCCTGCCAAGCAAGGAGCACGATGTGGGACTCGATCCCAGGACGCTGGGATCATGACCTGAGCCGAAGGCAGCTGCTTAACCAACTGAGCCACCCAGGCATCCCGCTATGAAACATTTTAAATAGAATCCATAAAAATTAGAGAGGATTGGGTATAGAGGTATAGAAGTTTCTGGCTTGAGTGAAAGTTTTATAAGTTATCAAATGAATTAAAGATTAAGAAGTAAGTGTTGAAAAACAGATATGGGAGTGGGACTGAGGACTAGAGGTATATACTTGGGAACCATAAATATTGTGGATAAAGTTATAGGAGTAGTTGAAGCAAGCAGAAGAAGTAATATGGGAGAAGAGAGAATCATCCGGAGCCACAGGAGATGGAAATGTTTGAGGCAGAGGGAGGAAGAGCCAGCAAAGGAATGGTTGAGAAGGAAGAGAGAGCAGTATAGTGGAAACAAGCTAAAGAAGGTGGGAGTTTGACAATTGCAGATGCCAAACAGACTCAAAGTAAGTAAACTGAAAGTAGTCATCTATATTTGCCAGGTAGGAGCTTGCTGGTCTTGCCAGAATAGTTTCAGTGAGGTAGCAGGAACATAAACCAGATCACAGGGGATTGAGGGCTGAGAAGGACAGATAAAGTAGAGACAGATACAGTCACTTACTTTTTTCAAGTAGTTTGACTTTGAAGAGCAGAAGAGATAACTGGCTGGGTCTAGGGAAGATTTTTTTTTTTTTTTTAACTAATGGAATTCTTGAGAGTAATCACTGATTTTTTATCTTTTGAAATTTACTGAATGATTTGAGATTATTCCTGATGTTATGGCACTATTTAAGTATAATAAGGAATAAAAAAGCATTTCTTTGTGGATTAGCGCTCTTGAACATATCAGTTCTTTAACTCTGAAGTTATTTTTCTAATGCTTTAATGCCAGGAATTTTAAAAAATTTTGGAGTTCTAGAACATTTCCATTCTTTTGATTCTGAAATTATTTTTTTAATACTTTAAGCCAAGAATTTTTAAGGTTTTTTTTATTGAGCATAATTTGAAACATAAATGTAGAAAGATTGATATCTTTTATATACACCTCCAAGCCTCAACAGTTAATGTTCCTGTCAGTCTTGCTTCATCTTTATCTATTTTAGAACAGCGAATTCTAGATATCTTGTCATTTACCCTGACAGAGCTAAGTATAAGGATCATGATTTAGAATTGCTGTGTTACAGATTTTCTAAGTAGTCCCACTTAAAAAGATCCAAAATTAAGTGAAACTGAATCTTTAACATTACAGAAAGATTACTCACCTAGTCAGGAATTTTTCAAGGCATTCCTTAAAGTGTGATGGAATATGCAAAATGAGCAAATTTACATCTTATTTTTCAAGAATACATAGTGTTTAAGATTTACTCAGGAACTTCTATACTGAAGAACCTTAAATACTATATAAGATACAATTCTGAAACATTCCATTTTTCCCATTTCTCTCTTTCATCTGCACTACTGTAAAAACTAAAAAAAGTCCTCCTTGCCTCTCATGTTTCCATATTCTAATTCATCTTCCACATTTATAGGATTCATTTTCTTGAAATACAGGTGTTATATCCCTGCTTAAAAATATCTAGCTAATTTCAAAAATCTTAGTAAAACCTCTTACAGCCAGGGCCCTTCCTAGTTCCGTATACACGTGTGCGTGCACACACGTGTGTGCACGCACGTACACACACACTTTCTTTTTTTTGGACCCATGATGTATTTTTCCCCCCACTTTTTCTATTGACAGAAATACTCTTCATCAATCCATTTGTCTGATTGGAAATGGTTTTTTGAGGTTTAGGTAAAATCTCATATGTTATCTTTTTTTTGGTAGTTCTCCTTGACACCACCTTTGACAGAATTAGATAACCTGTTATCTGAATCCCTATAACATATGATAAAACTCATAACTCTTATCACAGTATGCTGTTGTTACTCAATTTCTATCTCTTAGGCATCTCCTTGCCTCCACCTTTAATCAACTATAAATTGCAGGTTATTCCCAGCAGCCAGTACTGTGCCTGAGATGTCAAAAGAATTCAGAAACAGTTCCTTGATTTAATAAAATTATTTTTAGCATCAACATTTAAAATATGATTGGGATGCTATGTTATATTCCTACCACATTATTTATAATAAGAGACTTGGAAACAAAACTATAATGGAACTTCTTTATTATTACACAACTTTTATGCTCTTTTATCCAATAAAGGCCAGTTGGGAGGCCAAGCTATGTATTAGACATAGAGTTCATAGGCATGAGCTCTGCTATTTATTTTACAGTCACATTTAGACAAAAAGATAAGGGAGTAAGATTGTGGTAGGTAACATTGTGAGATGAAGTATTAAAACCATGGGAAACAGGGCGCTTGGGTGGCTCAGTCATTAAGCATCTGCCTTCGGCTCAGGTCATGATCCCAGGGTCCTGGGATTGAGTCCCATATTGGGCTCCCTGCTTTGTGGGAAGCCTGCTTCTCTCTCTCTTACTCACCCTGCTTGTGTTCCCTCTCTCACCGTGTCTCTCTCTGTCAAATAAATAAAATCTTAAAAAAAAATAAAACTATGGGAAACAATATGAGTGAGAAAAGTATTTGGCATGTTGGCTTCAAAAGGAATGTTACTAAGTTGAGAAAGTTTCTGTGAGTAAATTATTTTTCAGTGAATTTAACAGTTTAGCAGGGAGACCCTGCTTTAAGGGAATGCAGCCAGTGGTAAACACAACAGTTCTTTACTTACTTTGTCTGTGTCTATTTTTTTAATGAACTGTTAGTTCATAGTATGTTATTTTTATTACATACATTGTAAAGAATATTTTCTCTTCCCCTTTTATATAAACTCTGTTGCAGTTTTTCCCAAGACCACTAGAATGCGCTATAGTGCAGTGTTTCGTGTGTAGAAATGTTTTTTCCTATACACACAAATACACGCACACACATTCATGTGTGTGTGTGTGTGTGTGTATACATATACATATATAAACTCCATAATATTTTATTGCTACTTTGATTCCATCCTCACACCAGTTACTTTCAATTGCTATTTGACTTTTAGGAGGTATTATAACTTTGTGTCATGGTAGATGAAAAATCTGAAGATTGACAATTACATTAAGAACCTTGTTTACTTTTTGGTAACTAAGTAAAATTAAGTGGCTATATTCTCTAATAATCAACATTATTACAAATACGTCGAAATAGGCTAGGAAATGTTTGATCTGATTATGAAATCTTTGTGATTAACATTGGGAATAGAGAAAAAGATATTCTAGTTAATTTGGAACAAAAGTATTTATTAAAATTTTTTTAAAAAGAAGAAATATATGCACGTTGTTAATTAGCCAAATAACACGGTATGATCTCCCTTATGCATTGCATTCCCTTACCAAAGGAAATCTTGCTAATATCTTATGCATCATGTATTTTTCCAGAAATCTTCTATGCATATGAAGTATACATATATATACATACATATATATAAAACACGTATATAAAATAAATATTCTTTTTTACTTTTAACCATAAGAGACTCTTAATCTCATGAAACAAACTGAGGGTTGCTGGGGTGTGGGGGAGAGGGATAGGGTGGCTGGGTTATGGACATTGGGGAAGGTATGTGCTATGGTGAGTGCTGTGAAATGTGTAAGCCTGATGTTTCACAGACCTGTATCCCTGGGGCAAATAATACATTATATGTTAATAAAATTTTTTTTCAAAAATTCTTTTTTATTTTTAATAGGTACGTATTATTACAAAACATTTCGTACATATGCAAAACGTAAAAAGACTAATATATAATATACTCATATACTTGCTACCTACCTTAAATAGAACACAGCTGTCTGTAATTTTCATAGGTTTTCTTAAGATTCTCCTCTATATAAACTTTGATTTTTCTGTTATAGCTACAAAATAATATGAATTCCAGTACTTTGCCCATTTGACCAAAGAATTTCCATTTCATTTATACCTTTTTTGAAATACAAAAACTTACTTATGTTACATGCTCAATTAGTTTTTTATAAAAAAAATTAACTTGAAATTTGGGTATATTATCCCCTCATTCCTTCTTTATCACTTTATTACTTTGGTTTTTCAAATTATTATTATTGTTGTTGTTGTTATCCTAACCTTATTACATTTAATATTTATTATAAAAGGCCTCAATATTTTAGGGAAGCAAATCAGTCAAAATACATAAATACATTATGTAAGTATAACCATTTTTGGTTGACCTTTAAAATTTTTACTTTATCTGGATTACTTTTCTGGTCTCAGATGGTTAAATCTGAAATGGTGAACTCAGGTTAGCCAGAAATAATTATATTTAGCTAGTTTTAAAAGGGAAATAGATACGAATTTCTGTTCATAGTTCTTCCTGAAAAGGCAAAGGATATCTTGACTATTAAAAAAAAATTTGTTCATTCCTGTTGAAATATCTTTTTTTTTTTTTTAAGATTTTATTTATTTATTTGACAGACACAGATCACAAGCAGGCAGAGAGGCAGGCAGAGAGAGAGGGAGAAGCAGGCTTCCCGCTGAGCGGAGAACCCGATGAGGGGCTCGATCCCAGGACCCTGGGACCATGACCCGAGCTGAAGGCAGAGGCTTTAACCCACTGAGCCACCCAGGTGCCCCTCCTGTTGAAATATCTTATTCAACACTGGTGGTTAGGGCTGATTCCCCCTCCCTCCTTTGGATTGTTTACTGTAATGCATACTTGATAAATCATAATTGCCTGACAAGGCACAGAGTATTATAGATTACTTAAAACTTTTTTTGAGTATAGTTGATACACAATGTTACATTAGTTTCGGGTGTCTAACACAGTGATTCAGTATCTCTATATGTTATGCTATGTTTGCCATAAATGTAGCTACCATGTGTCACCATACAGTGCTATTACAATATCATCGACTGTATTCCTTGTGCTGTACCTTTTATTCCTGTGACTTATTCATTCCATAACTCAAGCCTTTATCTCCCAGTCCCTTCCCCCATTTTGCCCATTCCCCTACCACCCTTACCTCTGGTAATTCTCTGTTCTGATTCTGCTTTTTGTTTGTTTATTCTTTTTTTTTTTTTTTTTTTTTTTTAGATTCTACATATGAGTGAAACCACTTGGTATTTGTCTTTCTTAATCTTATTTCACTTAGCATGATACCCTCTGGATCCATCCATGTTGTCACAAATAGCAGGATCTCACTCTTTTGTTATGGCTGCATAATATTCCATTGTATGTACAGATCATTAGATGAGTTTTCTTTTTATAAATACATCAATGAGAAAGGTTAGTCTTCTACAAGTTTATTTCATAATCCAAATTTATTTACTGCTTTTGACAGTAGAATTGTACTTTCGCAATCATCAAGGAAATTTGAATACTATAGAAAGCAGAATGTGATATGTAATTATAGAAAGATTTATAATTCCCAGTGTTATTCTTTTATTTGTTATAATGACACTTAATGGTATAACAATAAAAAAAATAATAATGATGACCACTTTGACACCGTGGAAAGGCTGTTTTGAAAGGTAACCAGGACTAATGTATACTGATGACTACTCCTGTTACATATCCTCAAGTTCATTTAAATATGTTTAAGATGGTTTGTATTTTCTTATTTCTTTGTTAGAGCCAAATATCACAAGTTGAAATATGGAACAGAATTGAATCAGGGAGATATGAAGCCACCAAGCTATGATTCTGGTAAGCTAATTTTAAGGGAAGTTCAAATGATTAAAAAGAAGTTGACATCTAATATTTGTAGAAGCAATATTTTTAACTGCAAATTAATTTCTAATTATTTGTATATTAGTGATTTTTTCTGACCTACTTTATTAGCGCTAATCATTTAGTGTTGTTTAGGTGATTTTCCATTACCTTCCTTTCTTTTTCCTCTTCCCCTTTCTTTTAGTTTCCCATTTTCTTCTTATGTTCTACACTTCCTGGAAGGATCAGAATTCATGGGGTAACACACTAACATAACTGTGTCTTGCTGGGTTTCCCAGTATTAATGGGAACTTCAAGATGTGCAGTACAAAGCACATGATGCCCTTGAAATCCCGAGAGAAAGAGAAGGAATGAGAGTTCAGAGATACTTTCTCAAGTACAGGGAATTCCTAATCCCTTCAACCTAATCCCTCAGTTGCAGGTGCAAAATTATTCTTGGATTTTCTTATGCACAGAAGATTCTGCAGTCAGACCATCTTTTAACAGCTGAAACATTTATTATCTTTTTGTGTTATTTCTTCTTTTTTTTCTCCTACCTTCCTCTTCCTCCCTACAAAAATAGCACTTTGTAAACAATCAGATATTAAGGGTATAGATTTAATTGACTTATTAGTAGGGATAACAGTAAGAAAACTTGTTCAAAAGTTATGTTTCAAATGAGTATGTTTTGACATATTTCAGATTAAATTTCTGGATCAAATATCTGAAGATATCAATTATTGTTTCTATCATTGGCTAAAGTATATGCCTTTTACTAGGGGTTTTATGTATGTAAACCTTAATTCTTAAAATAGTTGCTCATAAAGATGATATTGTTCCAGAGAAGTGGAGAAACTTGCATAAGATCACACAACTATTAAGTAATGGGAATATAGATCTGAGCCCAGGTATAACGACTCCCAACATTCATATATATATATATTTTTTTATTTTATTTATTTATTTATTTATTTATTTATTTTTTAAATTTTATTTTTTATAAACATATAATATCTTTTTATCCCCAGGGGTACAGGTCTGTGAATCGCCAGGTTTACACACTTCACAGATATATATTTTTAAAGTTTGTTTGTTTGTTTTATATAATCTCTACACCAGGGTGGGACTCGAACTCATAACCCTAAGATCAAGAGTCACATGCTCTTCTGACTGAGCCAGCCAGCTGTCCCCAACCTATAAAGTCCAAAATTCATATTAATCCCATTTTACCACACTGCTTCTGTATCTGACAATGTATGAAAAAAACCTTATAAAGTAAGTTCTGAATGTGCTGCTAACTAAGTTCAATTCAGTGTGGTAATGTTCACACATTTCCCCAGCTGAATAATGAATCCTTGAGATTTAGAGCAGTAACAGTTGATCATCGGCCTATTTTTTCTTTGTTTTTTAAATTGTTCTGTCTTACTTTGATGTCTCTCCTTTTGACTTGAGATGCACTTAAATGTATTAAGTTTAAACTATTTGTTAAAGGCTGTCCTAAAAGTATCTTGTCTGATTCATAGAAATGATTTACTCAGAACTTCTATATAAAAAAAGTTTGTTTCCTTATTTTTCGATATTATTTTAGGAGTATAAAAGTCTAGTTGCAACATATGCAAAATGTTTATGTTTATAAGTAAATAGTGTGGTTCTAGAAAAAGTTTGACTCTTATGCATGTAAGTTCATCTCTGCCCTGATACTTTAAATACTTGTGGTATTACTTAATCTTTCGGGGATTGCTCTGCTGCTTATCTGAAACTGGGAAAATAGTGGAAATAATTCACAACTTTCAGGTTTATTTTCTTAGTGTACAACACTGGTTAGTACCTAGTATGCTTCCATCTATTGATCTTTCACTGTTTATTTAAAAATACTAAATATGGGGCACCTGGGTGGCTCAGTGGGTTAAAGCCTCTGCCTTCGGCTCAGGTCATGATCCCAGGGTCCTGGGATCAAGCCCCGCATCAGGCTCTCTGCTCAGCGGGGATCCTGCTTCCTCCTCTCTCTCTGCCTGCTTCTCTGCTTACTTGTGATCTCTGTCTGTCAAATAAATAAATAAAATCTTTAAATAAATAAATAAAAATAAAAATACTAAATATGTAATGCTTGTCAGACCTAGCATCAAACTCAGTGAAAAAGATAGCAATACCCTATTGAATTTTTACAGTGAAGGTTAAAAAAAAAAAGTGATTACAGTAAAATGACATGTATAATGGGGAAGATAATAGGTGTTATGGAGCACAATATCTGGTCCTAAGTAGTCACATGGTGTTTAAAGTTAACATCTGAAGGACAATTAAGAATTGGCCAGGGAAAATGAACTTACCAAATATTTGCTGAATGAGAGGTGGGAGGAAGGCAGAGGGAAGAATCTGGCCCATTTGAGAAATAAAATAACTGGCTAGTAAAGAAAGGGAGGGAAGGAGTATTTCTAGATGCAGCAGGGGAAGGGGGCAAGGCAGATTATAAAGTATCTTACAGGGGTCTTGTGAAATATTTTAAGGAATTTGCATTTCATCCTAAGAGTTTTAAGGTATTTGAAGGATCAGCTTTCTCGTAGGTCCCACAGGCAGCCGTGTAGCAGGTGGGTCAGAGAGCAGCTGGGTTGGTGATGGGGAGACTGGTGAGACGTCTGTTGCTGCCTCCTGGCTACATGAAGAAGGGTGCCTTGACAGGGCACTGACTGGATGTCAAGAGACCGGAGGGGAGGGGGGTGTTGTGTTGAGAGAATATTTCCGGAGTAGAATCTGCAGGAATGAGTTCCAGTTTTGACGTAGGGGATAAAAAAAGGGGGACATTCAAAGATGACCCCCACACTTCTAGTTCCCAAAACTAGATCGGAAGTAGATTTGGAAGATTGAAAGATAAATCACTTTTGGATTTATTAGTTAGGCAGTCAAGTGAAGATGGCTGGTAGATGCTGGCTCTGTGGGTCTCAGGCTCAAACTGAAAGTATGGGTTTGATGTATACATTTGAGAGGCGTCAGTACATGGTCCCAAAGGCACTTAGGTCATTGGAGAGGAGGAAGAGGCGCCTCCCCCGAGACCCCCCAACTCCAGACTATTCAGAGTGAGAGGAGGACCTGGATTGGAGCCCTGAGGACTGGTAGAAGATTAGAAAGTGGAAAAGGAAATAATAAGAATTATCTTAATGGTAGGATGGAAACCAGGAGAAGAGAGGAATTCCAGAAGTAAGGACTCTAAAGCACTATGACTAATAACCAGAGGTTCTAAAGAGTAGCTTTAAGATTTAGTGATACATGGGTCATTACTATGGGCAGTTCTGGAGAAAAGGGTAGAAACAAAGATATGAGTAGAATTTGAAGACTAAGCCGCAGTTATCTTTTCAGGAAGCTTAGATTGTGAAGGTGAAAGAGAGGGATAGCTTAAAGGGTACATGGGGGTCAAGGAAAGTGTGTGTGTGGGGGGGAGGGGAGATGTGTTTCTTAGACTCCTCTAAGAAAATAAGTCCTCTAAGCAAATAAAAATGAAAGAGAAAAGATACTCAGAATAGGAAGGACAGAGAATGGTGGGAGGAGCATGTCTTTTATTGTTCTCAAGAAAGAATATAAACATTAGGTGATGGATTTGTAGGTTTGGGCTTCACTTTGGTGGTGAGTATTCAATGTGATAGCTTTATGTGCGAGACTGGATTACCTGCTTAGAGTGTATGACAGGTTTAAGAAAAGTAGAGAAGTTTAAAATAAGAGCAGGAGAGCAAACTGATCACAAACAGTAGGATTGGGAAAAGCTAAGGGTCGAGTTGAGGAGTGTGATCATGAGTTCATATAGATGCATTGGTTTGCACCCTTGACAGCTTGGGTAAAAATTCTTGAATTCATGGAGAGACCAGACGGACAAGAAATTTGAGGATATAGACTAAAGAATAGTTGAAGTGGTAGACTGTGAACTGAAACTCGAAAGGAAAGGAAGTGAGGACAAAAGGAGGCTAATGGGTAAAAGTGAGGGGATAGGCTGTGGTCTGGAGCAGGCCAGCAGACTTTTCCTGTAAAGGGCCAGATAGCACTATTTGTGCTTTTTAGGCCATATGTGCTCTGTTGCAGCTACTCAACTCTGACATCCTAACATGAAAGTAGCCACAACACATAAGTGAATGACTATGGCAGGCCACATTTGACTTGCAGCTTGTAATTTGCTGGCCCCCGGTCTAAGTCCCAGCTAAGGAAGGACTGGTGAGGTGGGAATATGAGCCTGCAGAAAACGCTCAGAGAAGGAGTTTGTATCTGTGCCTGTTCTTCATGGTGACAGGATCTAAGGTATGACAGCTAGAGAGGGTGGTGGCTGCGGGGAGGCTGAAGTGGATCACCCACATGAATATTAACTTTGCTCCAGATGAGGTAAACGTTTGGTTGCAGAGGAAGCATGTAAGCCTGGTTCCAAGCGTTATTGAGGGATTTGTGGGTGGCAGTGATGAGGACAGTGACTAGGAGAGGGTAGAAGATGTTGTATCCAAGCAGGGTAAACTTTAAAGAAGCAGGAATTCTTCTAGTCTTTGCTCTTTTATCCATTTACAGTATTTCTTTTTAAACTGACAATCCAGTCATTTTCTGAGACAATTTTCACAATAAAATTAATTTCCCTTCTAACTTTTTCTCCCCCCTCTACCCTAGGAAATTTTACCCCAGGTTATGTTAAAATCTATTTATCTTCCATATTTTAGCTTCTTTTATTTAATATTAGAAGCCAAGTACATATTAAAAATGAGTATTTTTATCCAGAGTGACAAATTGTCTTTTAATTAAGATGTTTAGACCATTTACATTTCATGTGACTATTTATATAGTTAGATTTAAAGCTACCCATCTTGCTGTTTGTTTTCTGTTTGTTCAGTCTGTTCTTTGATACCTTTTCCTCTCCTGGATTTCTTTGGGATAATATAGTTATTTTATTTATTTATTTTTTTATTCTATTTTATCTCTTGCTGACTTACTAGCTGTAACTCTTTGCTATTTCGGTTGGTTGCCTTAGGGTTTACAGTATACTTTTTTTTTAACTTGGCACAGCGTGTCTTTAAGTGACAATATACCACTTCTTATAGTATGAGAGCCTTGTAAATATGGATTTCCATCTCTCTTTGGCAGTTGTTTTCACATCATTTTGCTTCTAAGATGTCGTAAGTCACACACTACATTATTATTATTATTTTTTAAAGATTTTATTTATTTATTTCTCAGAGTGAACACAGGCAGACAGAGTGGCAGGCAGAGGCAGAGGGAGAAGCAGGCTCCCCGCCGAGCAAGGAGCCTGATGCGGGACTCAATCCCAGGACGCTGGGATCATGACCTGAGCCGAAGGCAGCTGCTTAACCAACTGAGCCACCCAGGCGTCCCTACATTATTATTTTTGTTAAGCAGTCAATTCTCTTAAAGAGATTTAAACAATCTAAACAGTATATATTTCCAGTGCTCATCATTCTTTGTATGGATCTATATTTTCTGGTGTCACAGTCCATCTACCTCAAGGACTTTTATATATCCTATAATACGGGCTGCTGCCGGTGAATTCTTTCAGCCTTTGTGTGTCTGAAAGTCTTTCTTTTGCTTGCTTCCATCATTTCTGATGAGAGATCTTCTATTAAGCTTCTCTCTGTTCTTTTGTATGAAAAACATGACGTATTTCTCTGGCACTTTTAAGATTTTTCATTTTGTCATTGGTTTTAAGCAATTTCATGATCGTGTGTTTTGGTGTAGTTCCCAGGTGTCCCCCTTTCCAGTGTTTCTTGTGCTTGGGGTTCATTGAGTCTCTTAGATCTGTGGATTTATAGTTTTCATGAATTACTGAACTTTTCAGCCATTATTTCCTCAGATACTGTTTTTGTATGCCACAATCTAGAAACTCTGTCAAGGTGGTAAGCTGGAATAATCAGTGTGCTGTGTGCTTCCTTTCTCTCAGGGATCATTGTCCTTTGTTGCCTGACATCAGGTCTTAACCATGATTTCATCTATTTTGTTTTATAGTTGTTTCAAGCAGAAGGGTGAATTGGATCCCTGTTACTTCCAATTTGACTGGAAGTATCAGTCAACGACTTTTATATTACCAAGCAGTTCAACTCTTACCACTTTAAAATCCTCCCTTTTGTTTGATGTCATTTTTTTTAACTTGATAAAGTGAGAGTGAATCTGATAGTTGCTTGAGAGAACTGTGAATTTTAGCTTGGAAAAGGAAATGCGGGGAAAATCAAGTTCACATGTACAAGAGTTTTTTTTTCTCTTAACTTTAGACTTTTTTAAAAAAACATGTTACCCAGGGAGTCAGATTTTATCTCAATGCATGAATACACTTTTCAAGAGGGCGAAGATGCATTCTTATTTGATTAGGCTTAATTTATTTTTTATTAAGATAGCATTCACATAAGTAAAATTCACATTTTTAGTGTTTTCACAAAAACATATAGTCCTGTTACTACTACCCTTTGTAGTCAGCCCCTTTGCCACCAGTCTAATCCCGTGGCAGCCACTCATCTGTTTTATGTTCTTATAGTTTTGCCTTTTCTAGAAGGTCATATGAATTCCAGAACCATGCAGAATATAGCCTTCTGCTTCTAGCTTTGCTCACTTAGCATAATGCATTTGAGATTCGTTCCTGTTGCTGCGTATCTGTAGATAATTCCTTGTAAATAGTATTCCATTGAGTGTATGTATGTGTTGTACTCTGGTAACATCACTAGCTGTCAAAGTAGGCACAGGCAGTGGAGTCCTTCTGAGGGTGCCTTAGAGAGGCCTATACTGATGGGAAATTAGATGACCTCAAAAGTTCCTTCACATATGAAATTTTTAGTCTTTTGGAATGCCACTATAAGTATTACTTGGCAAGTATAGCTTACTTGACTTAAGATATATTAGAACATACCATAGTATATTCCTGAATATGTGGAACCATTTGTGAACCATAGTTCTTGAATTTGTGGGTCAGTGGAAACAAGATGTGTGTTGTTTTTCCTTAGTACGGGGACATTATTTTTGCCCTTTTTTAAAAAGTATACCCTCTGAGGTCATCCCAAAGTAATCTACCTTTTTGAGGTAACTTAATCTTCCTGCTGCAGTCTGGTCTACTGCTGTTTCTTTTGATTTTCTTTCTTTCTTTTTTTTTTTTTTATTTTTATTTTAGTCACTGTACAGTTTTTCTTTATTTTTTGACGTAGTTTTCCATTTTTCTTTTTTTGCTTTTAACCCCCGGTGCTCATTGCAATACGTGCCCTCCTTAATACCCATCACTAGGTCAACCCCTCCCCCCACCCCTCTCTCCTCTGAAACTCTCAGTCTGTTTTCTGGAGTCCACAGTCTCTCGTGGTTCATCTCCACCTCCAACCACTCCCCCCCTTTATTTTTCCCTTCCTTCTCTGAATGTTTCTTTGGTATGTCACAGAGCTTGGCCTGATTATTTTAGGAGGAAAATTGAAAATGGAAAATCTAATTCTTATTTATATATTTATTTAATTTTTTATCATTGTAGTGATAGCATGTAGAGGGAAACGTGAGCTCTGGACTCAGACGTGATTTCGGCACTTAATTGGAAATCATACAGTTAACTTGTAAAACTCATCTTTTTCATCTTTAAAATGGGGATAGTAATAACACCTATCTTTTCAGGTTGTAAAGATTAAAGGAGATAATGAATGTGTTTTTAACACAGCATCTGGAACATAGTAAATGCTTAACATCAAATATCATAAAATAAATTTTCTCAGTCTCTCTTACATCTCCAGTGAATAAAACCCTGTAAAAGATAACAGTTTCTTACAGTTTAATCGAGGGCTGATAGAAAGTGAGAATTTTTTGTATTTTTAAAGTTGAGTCAGAGTATAGTTTGGAAATTCTGTAGTCCAGATTTATCACAGAAGGCTCTTTTTATTTTACTATCTTCTTGAAAGCGTTCACTTCCTACTGAATGATGAATTTAAGCTTTATAAGACTCAGGTGGTTTTCATTGAAAGGATGTCTTCAAAAGAATATTTGAAGTTTTCATTTAATAACTAGTGAAGGAAATAGATTTGGAGTGAAATTATTTTTTCCCTGTCTGCTCTTTACCAGACTAGCTATTCTATCATCATTCCTGAATGCTTTGTTCTAGCTCTGATGTGGTGCTCCATAATACTTTCATTTGACTCTCGAAAATTCTCAGGCTAGTAGAGATTGGGAAAATGTCTTTATTTTAGTTCTGCTAACGCTCAGGGGAGTCTAGTAGCAATAATGAATTGATACTATTTTTGTTAAGGAAATTAGTTTAAAAATATATATTGTCCTAAAACATACCTTACAGTGTAGTTTTGCATATTCTTAATCTTATAAATTTATATTGGGCATATTTTATGAATTGAGATGCCTCTAATGAATGAAACAAGGCACTTTTATTATGATTTAATGTTTTCCAGATGAAGGTAATGAAACAGAGGTACAGCCACAGCAAAACAGCCAGTTAATGTGGAAACAAGGTCGACAACTACTCAGACAGTAAGTATCCTGTGGTCAAACAGAAAAAAGTATGTTTTCATCAGGATATATATGTATTTTTTTTTGCATTTTCAATTCAGTAATTTTATCTCTTATTATTAGACTGCTGCTATGAAAAAGCTTAATTGAATTTTTGTTCCTTTTTCATAGTAAGCATTTATTCCCCCTGCAGTAGATTTTATTTTTCATTAAATATTAATAAGAATTACCAAGAATAAATTCTTTTATAATTTTAACTTAGAGTATACCTTTAAGCTTCAAAATTTTAATATACACTTATATTTACATTTGAAAGAATTCTAGGGGCACCTTGGTGGCTCAGTTGGTTAAGTGCCTGCTTCCAGCTCAGATCATGATCCCAGGATTCTGGGATTGATGGAGCCCCTTGTTGCGTTACCTCCTCAGCAGAGAGCCTGCTTCTCCCTCTACCTTCCCTTCCCCTCCTTCTGCTTTCTCTCTCTCTTTCAAATAAATAAATAAAATTGTTACTTTTTGCATCTTTTATACCCAAATATACATTATGTCTTGATTTAAATCTAATCTATATTTAGATGTATTTTGTGTTGTTTTTAAACTTCCTATTTTAAATAGATTGAAGAACTTTCTAAATTTCCTTAATTTGCACTAACATATACTTTCTCCTATAAAATGTGTATTTGAGACTTTAAAGAGGGAACAAAGTTGGAATGAGGTTCAGATGTCAGATGGTAGGCTATAAGCCACTTAACCAGCTCACTGCCATTGCCTTGCATATCACATTTGAAATTAGTATTCTGATTTGTGGTTCATTAAAGTGAAATTTACTTACATGTTTTTGAGTTTCCTGTGAGTAGTCTACACTAATGGTTTCCAGAGTGGATTTGTGCTAGCCATTCCTTTGGACTAAAGGGAAAAGAATATTAAAATGTCTCCTTTTATGTATTTGGTATCTATTTAATGTTAGAAAAAAAATGAGAATTCACTAACATTTAATAAGTGGTTTTCATAGTGCCCTCACCTTGTTCTTAAATATGATGAATACATTTTTCTTTCATAAATGTGTTTTTAAAGTGCTCATTTGCTTTTTTATGAGAAGTAGTTATCGTAGTAAACTTTCTGAGAGATAATTTCAAAAACTTTAAAAGACTCGTGATCTGCCCCTTTTAAGATGACATTTTATCAATGAATAAGGAAGTAGCTACATAGTAAAGCCAACTTACCTATGGAAAGAGCAGTCTTTGAAACGGTTACCTGTAATGCGATTTTGTTGCCAGAGAAAGGTATGTATCAAATATTTAGAACAGAAAAACATAGCACCTTTCTGTTGGTTTTTAAGAAGAGCTGATTAAATTCAAGAAAGTTAAACATTTATTATCCTACATTTTAATCAAAACCTTTCTGTAAATATCGGATAGTATTGAAAAATGAGTATCTTGATTTGGTAAGTTATATTTACTTCATTTTGGCCACATATCTTTGTGAAATATGTCTTTGAGCTATAATCTATTAATACCAGATCTTGAAATAAACTGACCTAAGACTGGTTATCTTATCCACCTTTGTTTTCTCTTTAATTTCAGAGACTTGCTGCTTACTTACAGGTTCATGCCTAATATTTGTCTGTCACATTTGTTAATGACATTAGTAATGACATTTGCCTTTTTCATATTCCTTTTGGTCTTTTTTGGACATCTTTGTTGTTAATGGATATCAAATGCCTTCTGTATGCCACCCACTGTACTAGGTGTGTCGCTTTTAGAGGGAAGAAAACAGAGGTTCAGGAAAATTAAAGTCACACAGGAAGAAAGCGGCAGAAATGGGCTTTAGACCCAGATCTAGTTCTCAGTACAAACCTATTCTCTTTTTCTGTGCTGCTGCCTCTCTGTAACACACACCCCCACGTGCACACAGGCATCCCACATCCACAGTTGAATTGTGGGCTATTTTTATTTTAGAGTTGTCTCAGGATAAATGCTTTCTTTCTGTAGAAATGACTCTTTGGAATATGCTCTTCCTGTATGTCATGGAGGAAACCAAATAAGCTAGAAATATCCTCTGTAGATCTCAAACACTTGATTCGATAACACTTTATATCAGAAAAGTAAAACAAAACAAAGCAAAACAAAAACAAACTACTGGTTATAATAATTACTGTAAGAATCTGGAACTACTGTAAGAATCTGAGAGTGAGTTTGCCTCCTAGAAGAAAGAATGTGCTATTAGGTATATTAAGGAACAGCTTCTTCTTATGATAAATGTAATGAATGGTGTATTGTATAGTTCTTTGATTTTTTTCAGTGACCATAGAGGCTGGTACTGCAAGAGACAGCTCCGTCTGCAGCTGGAAGATTATTTATTAGCAAGTCTTACTAGCATAGTACTGTACTGTTAAGTCTTATGCAGGCAGTGAATTTAAAGAAATAACTTTTATTTATATATTAAGTTACAGAATACTGATTCCAATATGACTGAATTGTAAGGATCTTCTTCACACACAGGTATCTACAGGAGGTGGGTTACACTGATACCATTCTAGATGTGAAATCTAAACGAGTGCGAGCTTTGTTGGGCTTTTCAAGTGATGTCACTGACAGGGAAGATGACAAAAATCAGGATTCAGTTATAAATGGCACAGAGGCCGAAGTTAAAGAGACGGCAATGATTGGGTAAGTATTCTGTCTAGAAAGCATTTTAGCTAAAATGTTAGCGCTTATTAAATATTTTTGGTTTATGGGAGACACTTGTGATACTTGGAATTTTAGATACTGCTGCAGAAATAACTTATAAAGTTTGATAAAAAAACGATAATTTCATTTGGTAGAAGATAACCCATAGGGATTAGAGTTATTTATGATTATTTTAAGAATATTTAAAAAATATTTTTATTTGCTTGAAATTTATAGGTTTAATGCAGATTTTAATATCTTGAAGCTCATCAGTCACTTACTATTAGAACTTCACAAGAGATCATCTTTTGGAGATTCAGTTTAGATCTTTTAAGAATGAAATTTCATTCCTGGTGACCTAGAAATCCTATAAATCCCTCAAATTTTTTAGAAGTAAATGTTTTCTTAGTCATTTGTTTATTTAATAATAATACAACTCATCTTTCCTTTGAAAACTATCTTTTTTTGGGGGAAAACTATTTTAAGTGTATGTTTTTAATTGCTAGAATAAGTGTGAAAAATTCAGTAGCTGTTTGAAATATATTGTTTTGCTTTTTGGATCATGTGTCATACAGTTATATATAATTCTGCTTAAAATGAAAATGGATATTTAAATAAGGACATTCTTTATTGAAAAGAAATTTGGCATGATTCTTAAATAAAAAGCCAAAGATTCTGTGAAAGTCTAAATATTGTTTTGCTTCATTTTATTGCATGTTTGGGCTATAAGAATGGTTTTAATTGAACTCTATATATTTTCTAGTGAGAACATAATTTCTGTTATTTGGAACATTAAAATTGTGGGATTTAGGTAAAGATTCAAGAATAGGACAGACTCCTATAAACAAACTTCTATAAACAAGTGTTACTGGAGCCTTCTTAAGTATATTCATTAATATTTAAGACTACATTAACTTATTTATACAAATGTAAGATTAGTTTGTTTCTTTGTGTAGGCATAGACAATGTAGGCTTTATGCCTGGTTATAGTTTTACCTAAAGTATTATTGTAGGTCATAAAGATATTCAGAAAAGACCACTCGATTTGTCTTGTATTTTGCACTCGATTTGTCTTGTATTTTGCCCTCGACCTGTCTTTGGAAACTGACAAGAGTATTATTCTGAATCTGTCTGATTTGTGTAGGGATAGAGAATAGGGTGGAACACCAAAAACATAGCTCTCAGCAGATTTGAAATTTAAGATTTATCTGTTTCAGAAATTTTCTCTGTAGTTGTGGCTAAATTTTCTTTAAGAATATGCCTTATCTAAAACATTTCCTAATGAACTGGAAAGAAATCATCCTGTTCTGGCCATTAAGAAATTGTTTACTAAATTTATTTTGAGGGAACTAAATTAAAATCGTATGTATTTGAAAAGTCGATCATTTCAAAAGGTTAATGGTTTATTCATTAACAGGATCAAGTTCTGTAGTAATATTAATTTGACTAAGTTCTTTTTGGTAACTTTATGTGCATTTTTTTTCAACTCCTTAGCTGTTCAGTAGAAATATAAGATTGTGTTGGAGAAAACTGACATATCTACTAGTTATTTTCTTAGTTACAGAAATTTATATGTTAGAGGAAGAGTTGCAGAGGGGAAAAGAATAGAAAAAAAAAAGAAGTAGAGGTAATAAGAAAAATATTTTTAAAAAGAAAGACATTAAGGTTGACTTAAGTATATTGAGTCCGGTTAATATTGCATTAACCTAAATAGATATGATTGCAAAGTACTTTTGAAAGAGTAACCACTTCCTATTGTGGTTTGCCAATTAAAATGCATGGAAATATAATGGATAAGAATCTGTGGAGTTCATAATATGATTTGAGGGATCATAGTTACAATATAAACAGAAGTTAGTGTGACATATGGATTGATTCTTATGCTGAGTTTAAGAAACTAACTGAGCAAAGCGTACATGTTTTAAAACCAGAAAATCCGAGTTAACAGATTCTGCCTCCGTGCTGGATAATTTCAAATTCCTTGAAAGTGCAGCTGCAGATTTCAGTGATGAAGATGAAGATGATGACATTGATGGAAGAGAGAAAAGCATCATTGATACTTCAACGGTGAGTTGATACACGGATATTAATATTTTTAGGGATCATTATGCTTACTTGAAAAATAAGTGAGAAGCAAGTGAGAAAAACTTTTTTTAAAAATCCATATGCTTCAGCCTAAACCCTGAACTTTTTTTCATGAATTTGGAGAAATTTAATCTAAGAGTTTTTAGTGTTGAGTTCAAATTCAATAATACTTTTAGGATGGCAGTTTTCTCTTAAAAGGTCCTTACTCTCTGGGACACCTGGCTGGCTCAGTCAGTAGAGAACAGGATTCTTGCTCTCGGTTGTGAGTTCAAACCCACACTGGGGAGAGATTACTTGCAAAACTTTAAATAATCTTTAAAGGTCCTCACTCTTTGACTTGTTAACTCATTAAACATTTTAGTTCAGTAGGGTTGGTGAATATGGTAAGAATTTTTGTGTTATAACAATGCAGTGTTATTGGTACTGTAAGACAATAGAACTGACAGACCCATTATGGTACCTGATGGCGACTGGCATCACCTCTAATTGGTGCAGTTTGTCTTTCTTGTCTGGGTTGCTTTGGTAGACAAATGTTACAAATTTTTAGTAACTGTTCCATTAGATTTCTTCAAACTTGTTTAAAGTTACTCTGTAGTTTTGTTTAGATCTTTATAGGTTTATTGACTTTCCCATGGTAGTTTCTTAGAATAAGAGGTGTCTCTTGCTTCTTCTTCCTTCTCTTCCCTTTTCCATTCCATCACCTTCAGTTCCTCCTGGTTTTATTTTTTTTCCCTTTTTTCTCTTTTTTTTCCTCCCTCCTTTTTCCTCCTTCTCTTCTCTTCTCTTTCTTCTTCCTTCCCACTCCTCCTCTCTTTTTAAAGTAATAGATGAGGGCATGCTTTGTTTTGTCTAGGAAAATGTTTACATTTCCTCTTTCATGTTTATTTAAGAAGAGTAAGGAAGAAAGGAAGCTAACTGGACCTAGATGTGAAAGCTTTGGGTTTAAGCCCCAGTTCTGTCACTAATTTATCTGTGCTTCTTACCCTTCAGGCTTAGTATTTTAGTTTGTGAAATGGGGCATATAAATACCCATCTTACCTTCAGAGGATTTTGTGAGCAGTAAATGAGAAGCTATATATGAAAAATGATATAAATGATTTCTGGGTATAACTTCTCTGTCCTTTATGTCCTCTGCTTCCACCAGAGACTCTCAAATTATTACTTCCAGATTATTGTTTCCCTGAGCCACTCTGCAGTGGGTTTCTGCTGATACAGCCTTGCCATGGATATTATTTGAACTTCAAGTAGTCACCCCCAATTTTTTTTTTTTATCCAAACAGGTAGTAATAGCGTATGTTTTAGTTTACTGTAGTAAAAGAAAATGCCTAAACTTGTATGATACCTTTTCTCTGTCCTATTCATTTGAAAGTTTTGTACTGCTTTGTGATTTCTATGGGCCAATTGCATTGAGATCTTATTTTCCCATCAAAATACTTTATTCATAGCTCAGTGGTAAACGCTAACTGATTATAATGCTTTAAATATTAAGTATGGTCTTAGAGATATTCCTAACCATAGACTGTTTTTTTTTTTGAGTAATAAAATTCATAAAGATCTTGTCTTGCAGTTAGTATGGATTATAGCAATTCTATGACCAAGCAGTGAAGGCATAGCTAATAGAAATATACTTAAACCTGTTTAAGCATTGACTCAAAAATCCTTATAGTTTTTCAGGGAAAAATATCTCTAAACATATAATTGGTTTCTTTGTAACAGCTTTGTTGATTTTTAGGATATATCACATTAATTTGCACAGCTGCAGGCTAATAGCTGCAGACCAAAAGGACTTCCACAGTCTAACTCTATGTAGCAATGAGTAAGCATGACTTAAAAGATTTATTGCAATGCTGTAGAAAGAAAGAATGGCTGAAAATCATCCTATTAAAATGTATAGTAAAACAAACAGGTTTTTAAACTGTTATTTTCTTTAATTAAAATAGTTTGGTTGATTCAACTAAGAAAATAAGAAACATAGGCTATTATTAAATTTGTGTGTTGCCGCATATGCTCTCTTCTTGTTCTTTACCTTCTACTGGAGGTTGATTGTTCTTTGGGTTACATTCTGGATCATTTCCCTCCTCTTTTATCTCCTCCTTCCTCATGATCAACCTCTTCACTTTATTTTTCTTTACCATCATTTTTTTGCATTCTCACCATAGTATCATTAGTTAAGTGTAATAATGATCTTGAAATTATATATGTGTATAAAAAATGATCAACTTTAAATTGTTTGAAGGATAACTTCACCAGCAAGATGTCATCTCCAGAAAAGGAATGGGATTAGGAATCATTAGCTATTATGCCAGTCACAGTCTCATCCCCGTTTGTGTTATGTTTCTTCTAATGGTTTCACAGTGGCCATCTATCCCTCTTTCTAATCTTTTTTTTTTTTTAAAGATTTTATTTATTTATTTGACAGAGAGATCACAAGCAGGCAGAGAGGCAGTCAGAGAGAGAGAGAAGGAAGCAGGCTCCCTGCTGAGCAGAGAGCCCGATGCGGGGCTCGATCCCAGGACTCTGAGATCATGACCTGGGCCGAAGGCAGCGGCTTAACCCACTGAGCCACCCAGGCGCCCCCTCTTTCTAATCTTCATGGAACCCTGTGCAACCTATAACTTCTTTGTGTTTGCTGTAATTCTTAAGTTGACTTCCAGACTCATTAGAGGTAGGAGTGGAGTGGAACCCGAGATGTAAGGAAAAGTAATATGTACTTATTACAACAAACCCTACCCCTTCCCATTTACGAATCCTACTCTCCATTGGTAACCGCACTTTTCTTCTGTGCCTAACCATTAAAAAACAGGGGTTTTAATTTATTTAAGTGGGAGACATGATAGACAGTGGCCTGCAACTTGCCATATCTTCATTCATGAGGCTATATGGAGGAGAGACCTAGAAACACATTTTTTCCAAAGGAGTGAGTTTTGTGACTTAATATCATAGTTAGTAAGTAGAATGTTTTAGTTTTTCAATATAAGGTTCCAGCTACTTCTGTATTTTCTCTTCCCTTTTCACCAGGCATTGAGAACAAGAATTCTCTATCTTGGGACGCCTGGGTGGCTCAGTTGGTTAAGCCGTTGCCTTTGGCTCAGGTCATGATCCCAGGTCCTGGGATTGAGTCCCGCATCGGGCTCCTTGCTAGGTGGGGAGCCTGCTTCTCTCGCTGCTCTGTCTGCCTCTCTGCCTGCTTGTGTGTACTCTCTCTCTCTCTGGCAAATAAATAAAATCTTAAAAAAAAAAAAAGAATTCTCTATCTTTAGGGTGTTGGTGATGGCCCCTCTAAGTCATATCTGGTGTCCCATCAGGATTAGAGTAAGGGAGAAATCAAGCCTCTAAGGTAAAAGAAAGATGGATTAGACAGTGTGTTTGTGGAACAATGAAGGTCAGCATCTTCTATTGGTATAACTCTTCAGAGATACTTTTCTACCTTAGTTTGGCTGCCCAGGGAAGATTAGAAAAAATTATTAGCATTGGTTACAAAAGAATACCCCTTCACCTGGGTTTTCTGTACACAGTATGCCAAACTAGTCTTGCTTTTCTGTTTGTTTAATAGATTTGCTAGATGGGAGATTGGGATATGCTGTAAACATAAGGGGAAATACTCCAAGTAGTTAAAGCAGCTATTCTAGCAGCATTAAAGAGTCCTCGATTTCTCCTATTCAGTTTTTATATATACCAGGACAGTGAAGGCAGATTAGGTTTCATCTGCTGTACCAGCTTTCTGCTGATGGTGGCTTCCTGGAGTGCTACACTGAGAAGGATTTTGTTTTTAATTTAAATTCAAGTTAGTTAATATATAATGTAGTATTGGTTTCAGGAATAGAATTTAGTGATTCATCACTTACATATTATACCTAGTGCTCATCATAACAGGTATCCTCCTTAATGCCCATTACCCATTTTGCCCATCCTCCCACCTACCTCCCTTCCAGCAACCCTCAGTTTGTTCTTTATAGTTAAGAGTCTCTTATGGTTTGCCTCCCTCTCTGTTTTTATCTTATTTCATTTTTCCTTCCCTTTCCCTATCTTCATCTGTTTTGTTTCTTAAATTCTGCAAATGAATGAAATCATATGATACTTGTCTCTGACTGACTTATTTCACTTAGCATTATATTCTCTACTCCATCCATGTTGTTACAAATGGCAAGATTTCATTTTTTGATGACTGAGTAATATTCCTGTGTGTGTGTGTGTGTGTGTGTGTATACACCACATCTTCATTATCCATTCATTTGTCAATGGACCTTTGGGCTATTTCCATAAAGTGGCTGCTGTTCATAGTGCTGCTCTAAATATTGGGGTGTATGTGCTCCTTTGAATCAGCATTTTTGTATTCTTTGGATAAATACCTGGTAGTGCAATTTTTGGGTTGTAGGCTAGTTCTATTTTTAACTTTTTGAGGAACTTCCATACTGTTTCACTAGAAAGATTTCTGAGGCTGTGTCTGATCTCAGATGAAAAGTACTGTGATTGGTAAGTGATACCAGGAATGAGCGTGAGAACAGGGTCATACAAGTCAGGTATTTGTTATCTCTTAGAGTCTGTTTTTAGACCCTGTATTCTGTCCTATTGATCAGCCTGTTGGACCCTTATAATTTTAATCCACTCACAATAGCCCAGTAATAAAGTTTGATTAGATCTTGTTATTTCCATTTTGCACGAAGTGAAGAAGCTGAGACCTGGAGAAGCTGTGGTAGTGAGCCCATTTTATCAAAAGAAGCTGCAAACCATTCATCCTAAATTCTTTGGGTTTCTGGTGGTGGAGGTAACTAAAAAGATAATTGATGAAGAGTTTTGACATATAGATCTCAAAGATTATCTCTGCACGCATTAAGCCTAAATTTCAATCCTCCAACTGAATTTGTAATTCCAGGAATATTCCTAAATACATAACAACCCTTATCAGATTTGCTAGTAAGTCTAAGTCAAGTCCCACTTGGCAAGATCAGTATTTTAGAAAAAAATTGAATATATAGTGAGTTATTAGAAAAAACTGATGCAAGGTTGGAACAGTAGAAATACTGCGGGAAACTTTTTTCCTTCTCTAACACCATACTTTCTAACACTTGAGGCATGCATTTCTGAGTTTGTAGTTTTATGATTTTAGATTTTTTTACGGGAATTATGTGGTAGAGTTAACATTTATCATGGTCATATTCTGTGAAACTTCTGTATTTTATGAAGTGTTTCTCTTTTTGGTTAGATTAGAATGTCTGCATATAGACTGGCATAGACTGTATCCAAGAAATGGGGGATATGATTGTGGTTCTCTTAGTACAGTAGTATATCAAGGACATATCTTGTCTATTTGTAATTTAAATATCTAGCTTATATTCCAGTGTTTTCAACATATAATTCCATTAGTTTATTTAAAACAAGCCACCATTGAACCAAGTTTAAATTTTTACTTTAAAATGTGTAATGTATATCTTTTTAAAATGATACCTGTTTTACATTGAATTGGTTAAGTATTATAGCTATTTAACATAACAAAGATATGCTTTCTGAAGAAACCAATAATTGGGTTTTCTCATTCAGTGATAAAGGGATACTGTTTTCCTTTATTTAAATTAATTTCATAATATATCCTAAAATTTTAATTTAGAATGTTTTTTTCATTAGATTGTTAGGAAAAAAGCATTGCCTGATAGCAGTGAAGATCGAGATACAAAAGAAGCTCTAAAGGAGTTTGACTTCTTGGTTACATCAGAGGAAGGAGACAATGAGTCTAGAAGTGCGGGTGATGGAACAGAATGGGGTAAGGAAGCATACTGGATCCATCCAGAGGTATTAAGTAAATGAAAGAAACTAATGTTTTACTAGGAAGGCAACATCTTGAAGAACACTGTAAATTTCTTATAATGTTGAAATTATGAACTTTTTACTCTTGTCATCTTATATTCAGGGTGTAAATCTGTGTGTGCATGTTTAAAGAATGTTGTACAACTAGTTGCCTCATGTTTTTTTTTTTTAATATAGGCAATATACTATTAAAATAATTTGAATCCATATGCAGAATGTTCTGTGTTTCCTGCCCAGATATTAGAACTTGCAAATCTAGATTTTGTGGAAATTGAGTTTGAGAATATAATAGAAGAGTTTTTAGAGATTCATCTCTGGCATCTTCTGTGCAAAAAGAAGTATAAATTTAAAAACTGTAGTTACTCAGTCTAGGCATACTTCACCAGTTTGTGCAAAGCATAGAATTTTTTGGTGCAAATTGTTCTAAACGAATTTAGTATTTGAAACATCTCACGAGGTAAAACAAGTTATTTGGGGGAAGACTTCTAAGGCATAGATTATTCTTTGGGTTTGGAAATGAATTGTTGCTTTCAGTAAGGTGGGATTGTGATGAATTCTTCAAAAGCGATGAGTTCTGTCGGGTGTGGGTACATGTAGCATGAGTGAGGAAGACAGAGAGATAGTTACTGAGAATGAGACAAATTTTCTGTTGAGGTTGAAAAATTCTGGGAGACACTCAGTTGCAGTTTTATGTACTTGAAAGACAGATAGGGTTAGAGAATCAGTAACTATCCTAGTTTTAAATTGGAGACTTCCCTTGAGTCTTTACCTTCAAGAACTCTTATGATGCCACTTCTTTTCCTTTTTTGTGGCAAATATCTGAAGGTAATTATTATATGGGTTAATTAGTCATTGAAATATATAATGGCTATAAAATGACTAATTCTTTTTTTTTTTTTTTGCAATGGAACAAAGTTTGGAGACCAAGGGGAAATTGAAGTAAAGTCTCTTTTCTCTATTGTTACTACTAAGTTTATATATCAGTTTATTCAGATATTTTAGGCACTAGTTCTACCAGTATAGCTAGATCCACCATCTACACAGAAGTCTTTCTCTGAGGAGTCATACATCTGCATAAATAGTAGTTGGCTTTTTCATTGCCAGTCTTAGTGCAAGAGTTTTGTGATTCATTTCTCTCCAAAGACAGCTGCATTATTTCTTGTGTCACATCCTTTTCTTTATAGTGTGAGTCTTGGCCCAGAGCATTATATGATACATGTGTGTACGTTTTAATTAATCTAACCTCCTATGAAGTTACTGGGGAAAACGTGAGTGAATTGTCTCCATCTTTGAGCTGTCTTACACTTTAGTAGTGTACTGGGTATTTCTGAGATGAGTGAATGGGATCTTTCAGCCGATTAGAGATTTCCTTACCAGGAGTTTAGCCTTGTGTGTTTTTATCCAGAAAATTTTATTGAGAAAATTTTGTTCAGAAAATTTTACTCTTAAGCAATTAAAAGAACTAGATCGCAAATCCTATTTAGTTGAATGGACATTTAAAACGTTTTAAGTGCTTTATTTATTTCTCCTCTTCCCCCTTAAAAATGGAGTGAATGTACCTAGGTTTAGAATCTTTTTAGTTTCTGGCAAGTAAATAGATTTACCACACACCTTCCATGATCTTCCATTACTGTTGTGAGTCTAGTGAAGATTACAATAGGGTTAACTTTTAATTTAAAAAATCGAAGACACTGACACCGAAGGATCCAAAAGCTACCTGGTTTAATTTATTATTAAGACCTGATTGATGAAATATTAACATTTTTAATTGTTAGATCTTTCTGGGAAAGTAGTGACCATTTTTATTATTGATAGATTATAGTTAGAGCTATAAAAATGTTGAGCTTTTAAATTTATTGTGTTTAATCTTTTCAGAGGCCCAATTAAGTTTTTTGAACTGTAGATTGAAATTTAACTTATTAAAAATAGTTTCCTATTTGTTCTGATTCATTTTGGTTTATTCCAGTCATTTAACAAATATTGATCAAGTGCTTTCTATGTGTCAAGTCATTTGGTGAAGATCCATATGGGTCCACAGGACCCCTTGGTCCATATAGTTTACTAAGAGAATAAACATAAATGATAGAGCATGTCAGAAGGTGATAAATGCTGTGGAAAATAGAAAAAGTAGAACAGAGTAAGGGGGGTGGAGAGTGCTGGGTTTGGGGTAAAGTGGAGGAGACAAATTACAATTTAAAATTGTAATAGGGTAGGTCCCATTAAAGGGGGTTAATATTTGGACAAAAGACTCAAAATTGTTTGGTGGGTTAGCAATATGGTATCGAGAGAAGGAATATTCAGGAAAAAGAAAGCCACAGCGAATGCCCCCAAATAGCAGCAGCCTTGATATGCTTGAGGAATTAAAGGACACCAGAATGGCTAGAGCAGAGTGATTCTAGGGGGAATATGGTAAGAAGTGACCAAATCATGCAGGGCCCTTAGACCACTGGTGAGATGGAGAACCACGGGAGGAATTTGAGCAGAATTTGCCATGCTCTGACTTTGAATTTAAAGCATCATTCTGGCTTATTAAGAATAGACTACATAGAGCACCCATTGTTGATAATAGTCTTGGTGTGAGGGGAGAGAGGACAATTATTGGAGTAATTCTAGCAAGAGACAGAGTGATTAGAGAAGTAGAGTATGTGCTAAGTAGTCAGATTCTGGCTGTGTTTGGAAGGTAGGAAAAACAGTATTTTCTGAAATACCTGATGTGAAGTATGAAAGAAAAGGGAGGTTTTGGTCTGAGCAAATGGAAGGATGATGACACACTGGATTTGGAAGATTGGGAATTTGATTTTACAGGTTTAGTTTGAGACAATGTGTTAGACTTTCTAATGGAAATTTAGAGTGGGCAGTTGGACATATGAATCTTGAGTTCAAGCAAGGGTTCTGAGCTAAAACACAATGTTATATAGTATATAATTAATTTTATACTAATATAAAATATATAACACATTCTTTAAATTTTCTTCTCCTATAATAGTGAAAATTAATGATCGAATTTACTAAGTGCTCAGTTTCCTGTTTAAGAATTTGTAAACTAACAAATCACTTAAATTGCTTTAAATTTTGGAATGAAGGTTGATTGCTAAGTTTACAAAGTGCTATATATATAAGGCTGTAAAAAAAAATCATTAGTTGATGAACACATGCCAAAAATATAAAATTTTTAAAATGAAAATATGAAAACTATTTTGTGTAATCTCTTAATAATAATCTCTCATTACATAAATTAATAAGAAATGTTTTTTTATGAGTCAGTCCTAATTGAAAAATGAGGGCTTCTTCTAGAGTTTTTGGGCATAATTTACTAAAAGTTACTCAAATCTTGTAGGGTTTTGTTTTTTTTTTCTATGTCTCTTTCAAGAGAAATTTCTTATTACCTAGGAAATTGAATTGTCATTTCTTAGATACTATATTTTGTATGACTTAGACTAAGCAATGACTTTTTAAAATTAGTGATACAGTGAAGAAAATGGTTGTTAAATCATTCAGTGACAGAACAGTGAATTGACCTACAGTATATCTTATTTAAAAAAGCTGTTTCATTTGTTTCACTCTATTTAGAAAAGGAAGACCAGTGTCTCATGCCTGAAGCCTGGAATGTGGACCAGGGAGTAATTACCAAACTCAAGGAACAATACAAAAAGGAGAGAAAGGGGAAAAAGGGGGTGAAGAGTAAGTGGAAAACATTGTATCTGTAAATCATAAATCTTGCCTCTTTTACATCCCCCAATTTTTTTTTCAATGTTTTCCTAAAACCACTTACTCTTTTTCTTTTCTGCTCCTGATCTCTTTCCTTTTCACCTGCTCTCAGGGGTTGAAATTAAATGGTTAACTATTTGAGTATGACCTTAAAAAAATAAAAACAACCATGTGTATGATTATGGAATCATAATATATCCCAGTAATACATCTAGAGCCTCATGAGAGTGTGGAACTATATATTCAAAGCATAGTGATAATTTCATTTTTAAAGTATATATGCTTAATTACCACAATGATTTTTCACTGTTGACAGTTTTAAATCTTATCTAGTATGACCCTCTGGCAATCCACCCAAATTATTGCATACTATTTTTGGACTTGGAGACAGAAAGTTAATTTCTACCCCTGAATATTCTGTGTGTTCATAACTTAGAGTTCATTTGCTCTCACCACTGTATGCTATACAGGGTACAGAATCAAATACACAACTTTTAAAGGTATTTATTTAAGAATTTTGGCCAATTTCATTTATAGTAATATTACCAATTAGCTTTTTTCTTTTTAATAAGATGTCTACCATATCAAAAATGGAAGCTAAAATGAAATTGCTAGCCCTGTGAATCATTCACACACACACACACACACACACACACATATAAAACACTAATTATACAAATTATTAGGTTTAACAGTAGAACTAACTAAGCATGTAAAGTGGAAGTACAAAGTCTTTCAAGCATCCCTGAAAACCATCTAAAACACCTTTTTAGGAGAGGAAGGCTAAACTACCTCCTTGTGCTTCCACTCTCATTGACAAATATGAACATGGGTCTGCCTTTTATGGCAGAAAGAATTGCATCCTTTGGGATATTAAAGTAGTATTAAGATTAAGTAAAGTAAGATTAAAATCCAGTTTAGTGAAACATGTATTTAGAAGTTAGAAAAAGTAGTGTAGTCATTACCAATAAACATTTAAATCTTTATTTAAAATATCTTAGGTGTTACAAGTGTTTAGCTTGAATGGATAAAAAGTCAGTGACTATTTTTGATGTTATCATTATACCAACTATTACATGACTGAGAGGTGATGTTATTTGATGCCTCCTCAATATAAATTAAATCATAATGAGAAAGATTAATATTAAAACATAAGAGCATTTTGTACCTTTTCTCCAAATATATGGATAAAAATTTTAATCTTAAACAGTAAGGTTTTATAGTTACAACTTTTCAGAACCATGGCAAAAGGAGTTATACTGGAATTTTAATGCAAATATCATAAATGAGAAAGGAGAATATTTTAATTTTCAGATTGGCTTAATGTTGATATTTCTTTAAGTCCTTATGCTGCAGTAATGAATGTCTTCAAATGTAAAACATCTCTCGACTGGAAGGGTATCTAGGTCTTATGTAGATTCCACCTACTCTTGTATTGATTATTCAGTTCTTGTCAAATATCAAGGCATTGCTGTAGTTGGAATTTAGCACTTAAGATCTAAAATGGCACCATTTGACTGGACCAATATTCCTACTAATGGAAGCTATTGTATTTCCTGACTGGATTATGACCACTTTGCAGGCATATAGCACATAGTTTTGTTGTATGATGGAGAAAAATGACTGCAGGGAGAGAAATTTTAACATGTTTCATTGAGGATAGAAGGACTGGAGAGTGAGGCTGAGCACATTTTGTTTATTGCTGTCAGTTCATGTTGCCTTAATAAAATGGTGATCTGGGAACAAGTGAAGACGTAATAAAAACAGAGCTGGAGCAAAGCTCTGACTTGATATTTGAAACATGGATTTATTAACCATCATAAATATATTTTTAATTGAATTAAAAATTACTCATTGGAAAAGTTTGAGTCCTTTTGATATGATCTAGTAGCAATATTTCCAGTCAAATTGTGTACACCAATCATATTGTCTTGAAATATATTTCTAGGTATTAGTTAAAATTGCTTAAAAGTAGTTGTATTCTTTGCTGGTATAGGAAAAAAAACCATAATGGACTATGGGTAAGATTTTCCCATTCTTAATTAAACTTGTAACAGGAAAAACTACCGAAGATCTGTTTCAGCCTCTATCCTATATAAAACAGTCAAAACAGGGATGTGGGAGAATGAAGAACCAAAGCTCAGGTAAGTAATCAGTAGGGGACGAGACTTCACCTCGGGTACCATAGTTTCAGGATGTAAGGCAATGAATGCAACTTAACATAAACAGACAAACAAAAGGGATGTTATTGTTTAATTCAATACACAGTAGCTTCACATTCCATGGTATCTGTCTGCATTTAGAGTAATATACAAGGATTATAGAGTAATACTATTTTTAATGGTCCAAATTGGACATGAACATTATTTTTCATGCAAATAGCAATACCATTCCATTAGCCTAATTTTTAAAATAGATGTAAAACATAATTCTTCTCAAGAAATAAACTTTTAAAATAATTTGAAAACTTGGAAAAATAATTATTTTTTAGTATTTTTAGTAGGGCAGTTTTAAAGGTGAATGTAAGTAGATGTGAATAAGGTTTATGGCACCATTTTGATGCAGTTGAATAATTCTCTTCTTTTTTGTTCTCTTCCTCTCTGTTTTTGGGCCAGGGCCCAATAGGTCAAAACTACAAGATATGCTTGCTAATTTGAGAGATGTTGATGAACTTCCCTCATTGCAGCCATCTGTGGGTTCACCTTCCAGACCCCCCAGCTCCAGGCTTCCTGAACACGAAATAAATAGGGCGGATGAAGGTAAGTATGTAAGACCTCTCCGGGTGTCTTGATGGCTCAGTCAGGTAAGTGTCGACTCTTGATTTCAGCATAGGTTATGATCTCAGGGTTGTGAGATTGAGTCTCGCCTGTGGCAGGCTCCACACCCAACATGAATTCTCTTGGGATTCTTGGGATTCTCTCTCTCTCCCTCTCCCTTGCCCCCCCCTTCTCTCTCTCCTCTGGGGGGGAAAAAAAAGGACACTCTGGAGCACAAAAAATATGGGGAGATATATATATATGTATATAAGTTCAGTTATTTGGAAGGACTCTCTAAGAAAAGAATTTTATTTTACAGATGTTTGATCTACATAGTATCCCCCAAATGTAGGCTTTCTTACATTTGAGGGGGTTTGATTCCAACTTCAATCTTTCAGACTTGAGAAAGGGTGCATAAACTTAAAGACCAACTCTAAATTCTAGTTTAGAACATCCCAAGCCTCCACAGAAGCCATGTATTTTGTATACATAGGCTGTTTTATTTATCCTGTTGCCACAATGAGAAAATTAACATAAATAGGTAGTAAATGTTTACTTCGAGACTCATATAAATATTTTTAGATGTTTTATTTAAGCAATTTGTCACTGATAAATGAAAAAGGGAAAAAAGACACCAGAAGTCTAGTTGCATGTTCTGTTTTTACTTTGTTCCCTTTTAGTCCTTGTCCAAATGCATATATATATATTTTTTTACAAAGTCCCCAAGTAGAATTATTCCATTTTGTTTTATTCACTTAACATAAAGCCACAAAAATAACTTTCACAATTATAACTTCAAGATTACATATTATATTTTAGACTTGATACTTAACTGTTTCCCTGTTGAAAATTTAGGTTCCTGGTTTTTTATAGTACCATCTTATGGTATATAAATACTCTTCTTTCTGTCTTTTAGATACAAGTTCTGATTTATGTGTTTATAAATGTATTAAATGCCTGTAGGTAGAAATTGATTTTAATATATATATTTACAGTAACTGAAAATCTAGTATGACATGAAAGTAATCTTAATAATTAATAAATATTTTTCTGAATTTATTTTTAAAAATTATCTTGAATTTTTTTTTAAAAGATTTTATTTATTTATTTGACAGACAGAGGTCACAAGTAGACAGAGAGGCAGGCAGAGAGAGAGGAGGAAGCAGGCTCCCCGCTGAGCAGAGAGCCCGATACTGGGCTCGATCCCAGGACCCTGAGATCATGACCTAAGCCGAAGGCAGAGGCTTTAACCCACTGAGCCACCCAGCCGCCCCTATCTTGAATATTTTTAATACTGCAATTATTTGCAGTAAATATTCCTCTTCAGATTTTTATTGATTGAACAAAACAGCCCAGGAAAAAGCCACAGAAAAATCTTGTGTTTTTCTTTCTTGGTTTTTAAAATTCAGTTACATTTTAAAGAGACATAAACTGATAGAAATTTGATGGACAAATTTATGGTTGGAATACTTTTTAAATAAAATTTTTGACCATAACATGGTTAGTTATTTGTTAGAGTTAATTATAGTATACTTGGAATTTATTATTTATACATTAAATAATGAAGATGTGTATATTACACCTTTATAGTCTAAATGTACAATTTCTTTGATGTAGACATGTCTTTTGAATGAAAGATGTGAAGTCATGGACCTCATTAGGTATGTTTGTTATTCACTAGGCAATACATACGATGAACACTATCGATATGAGAATTTTAATCAGTTTCAATTATTCCAAGATCAGGTCTAGATGAGGAGAAAAGTTAGTTCTAATTTTATTCTGATAACTCCTAAAGAACTTTATTAGAGATTTCATTTACAGAATTCTAATAATAGAGGTGGGCTAAGGACTATATACTAAATGACATATATACAAAAGCATTACATAAGCCACAGAAAGTGCCCTTGACAGAAAAAAACATATAAGAACCTTAAAACTGAAGGGTTGACTATCTGGCTTACTGTCTGTAACAGTGGTCATTCTGAGCTTTCCTCCTCAGTGTAAGGTTTTCAGCAGTAGAAAAAGTATGTAAGAAATACATTGTGTATTTAATTGTCTGTGACTGATGCTTCTTGGTCTCCAGTTTAGTTTCAGAAAACAGGTCCATAACCTATGTATGCTATAAATGTTTATTGCTTTATTTTTGTTTTAATAATTCAGAAGATAGGCCATACTTAAGAGATGCAGTTCAATAAGTTGATTAAAGCTGATTAGAGCTAGTAATGTTTAGTTACCAGAGAGAAATGGGATGTACAGTCTGAAGTTCTAAGGCATCTTAGAGAGCACTCAGATGAGTTCTGCTCACTCTTTTGCTCTCTCTTGGGCCCTTAGGTCGGCTGGCTTAGCCAATGGTGTTTGGTGGATGGAGTTGCTGCCTTCCTTTGTTTTCAGGTTTTACTTGGTCATTTTTAGAGCATTATTTAAATTAGCCCAAACAATGTGTGTGCTTAAGTCTTATGAACCTTAGTCTTGTTTTTTTAAGAATTATTTTTATTTCACACCTGAATAGTTGTCTGGAAATAGTAGAAATGAGAGCAAACAAAACACCTGGCTAAAAACCCAGCCTCATAGTCTTATGTGAGTCTTTTTGTTGAAACTTGGCACGAAAATTGCCATTCTAGCTTAAACAGTCCCCACTCTTCAGTAGTAAATGTTAGAGTTGTTCAAACCCCTCAGAATATATGTAGTATGTTTGGGTAAAACCCATTTTTATTTTATTATTGTTTTATTGTATGATGGTTTAAAAATGTCTTCATTTATAGACTCTTTTGTTCTTAAAAGGATTTTATTTTATTTTATTTTAAAGATTTTATTTATTTGCTTGACAGAGAGAGAGTAGGCAGAGAGGCAGGCAGAGAGAGAGGGGAAAGCAGGCTCCCCGCTGAGCAGAGAGCCTGGTGCGGGGTTTGATCCTAGGTCCCTGAGATCGTGACGTGAGCAGAAGGCAGAGGCTTAATCCACTGAGCCACCCAGGTGCCCCATCTTAAAGGATTTTAAAGAGAGGGTCTGCCTCTACTGTTTTTAAAGCACATAACTAAAAAAATAAATAAATAAAACATAACTATTCTTTTATTTCAATGAATTCTTATGATTGAATCTAAACTTACATAATTAAAAGCTATAAAAAGCACCTTTAAGTCCAGTTTTTTTGCATTAATTAACTCAGTTCTTTTTCTTGCCTTTTTTTTTTTTTTTTTTTTTTTTAAAGGGGGAGAGTGAGGGAACAAGTGGGGAGAGAGGAAGGGGGAAAGGGAGAATCTCCAACAGGCTCCACTCCCAGCATGGAGCCCAATATGGGGCTCGATCTCATGACCCTGAGATCATGACCTGAGCCGAAATCAAGAGTCAGAGGACACTTAGCAGATTGAGCCACTCAGGCACCGCTTGACTTGATTCTTTTAAGAAAAAGTTAATTTACCATTTTTTAACAGCCTAAGTTTGAAATAATAAATTCATGTAATCAACTTACAATGTTTGTCATTAGGAAAGTAACCATCTCTAGAAAACTACTCAAAGACCATCTCTGACAGTTTGCTAGAATAATTTGCATTTATAAAAATCAACAATTTACTATTAACCAAATTAAATAAAATTCCTATTTTAATTTGGCATTTTGCTTTTAACTGGTTCTTCTGTGATTGAAGGAATTGGATTGGCATGTTCAGTGTTATAAAGATATTTTCACTTACCACAAAGAAAATCTGTCCTCTTGAAGCACAGTTAGCAGCTAATGAAAATGTTCAAATGGACACTTTATTAAAAAAAATTTCTTTGAAAAGAAATCCACTTACAATGAAAAAAGTTTTCTTTGAAATAAACATTTTTAAGTGAAATACAACATACCTGCAGAAAACTGCTGAAGTCATAAGGGAAACAGGTCAGTGAATCATCACGAAGTGAACCCAGCCAAGTTACCTCTGCCTAGGTCAACAAGCAGAACATTACCAGGGCCTTGGAAGTCCTGTTTGTGCTTCAGATCACTAAATCACTGCACCTTCCCTTGTCTCCAGACATAATCCCAACTTCTAACACCGGCATTGATTTGACCTCATAGAGGCACATTTTGCAATTACCATTTTCGTTTGAAATTATCTGTATTCTTCCAGGTTAGAGAATTAAACGGTTTTATTTTGAATGAGACCAGCCGTGTTCAAATCACTTGTTATATATATTTAATAATCGATAGAATAACTTGAATAATGAACAAAAAATATCAAATGAGGAAAGCCTGCCTTTTCTTTTTTTTGGTTGTATTTTTTTTGTGAAAAAGAAAGGACAGTGGTCTATTGGATTTGTTTCATGTTGTACTTTTCTAATTAGATGATACCTTTAGTTATGGTTAAGATATAGAAAAAGTAGCCAGTTCTGGGGCACCTGCGTGACTCAGTTGGTTAAGCATCCTACTCTTGCTTTTGGCTCAGGTTGTATTCTCAAGGTTCTGAGATCAAGCCCCTCATTGGGCTCCTCACTCAGCAGGGAGTATGTTTCTCCCTCTCACCCTCCCCCTGCTTAAGCATGTGTGTGCTCTCTCTCAAATAAATAAATAGAATCTTTCAAAAAAAAAAAAAAAGCAGCTAGTTCTTAAGAGCTTTCTGCTAACTGAATTTTGTTGTGTTTAAAAGCATTTAAAAATAAATGTAGGGGTGCCTGGGTGGCTCAGTGGGTTAAGCCTCTGCCTTCAGCTCATGTCATGATCTCAGGGTCCTGGGATCGAGCCCCACATCGAGCCCCGCATCTCTGCTCAGCAGGGAGCCTGTTTCCCCCTCTCGGTCTCTACCTGCCTCTCTGCCTACTTGTGATCTCTGTCGGTCAAATAAATAAATAAATAAATAAATAAAATCTTTATAAAGAAAATAAAATAAATGTAGACATGTCCGTGAGAGTCTAATTGTGTACACTTCAGAAGTTTTTTAATATTTCTTTTGTCTTCCCCCTTCAGTGGAAGCATTGACCTTTCCTCCTTCTTCTGGGAAATCCTTCATCATGGGAGCAGATGAAGCCCTTGAAAATGAACTGGGACTTGGAGAATTGGCGGGCCTTACAGTGGCCAATGAAGCAGATTCGCTAACTTACGATGTGAGTCGTGGTTTTATTTTTGTTGTTCTTTTCTCATTTCTTAAAAATAAAAAGTTAACTTTTTAGAAAAAGTGGTAAAACGTCTTTACAAGCATAGAATCTGGTTCCATTTTAATTGCAAACTTCAAAATTATGGATATGTTATATAAATGATATTTTTCACATTTTAGAGAGATTAAAATTACGGGCTTTGCCTAAATCCATAAGTCATTATAGCTTGTTTATTGGTTTTAGATATGGAAAAAAATTCCCTTTCTGTTACCAAGTTTGGGTTTTGTGTTTTAGGGTACTAGTGATCAGTTAAATTCAGGCTTGCCCAATGGCAACATTTATGTTTATTTGGTACATTACCAGTGAATATCCTGCCCACAAATGATTTAAGCTATTGTTAGGCAGGGATTTCTGTAAGGTGCTTTTCAGATGTTAAGGCACACTCATCAATGATTTGGACCAAAACTGAAATCTTGATACCTTTACTCATGTATCCCTTTATTTAATTCCCAACACAGTTATTTTATAAATACATTTATAATTGTTCATGACAATAAATTGTCAGAAAAACAGTTGCTTATTTTATTAAGTATTTACAATCTGTCTTCATTAAAATCCTCTCAACTTTGATACCTCGTTATCTTTGTTGGAGAACACAGTAGAGCTCCTGACACATGGGGGATGTAGGGTGGATGCTTAAGCAGACCATGGATATGAGAAGGAAGTACTCCAAAGAGCAACCTTACCACTCACTCCTCTTCCTGAAAATCAAAAGTTCTCAGTCTCCTTGCTGAGTCTATTAGTAAGTCTTTTGGGCTCTCCCTCCAAAAATAGCTGAAGTCCATAGCTTTTTTTTTTTTTTCTTTTCTCTTTTTAACACCTGCCATCCAACTCCCCTTTCTTCTTCACCTGGAACTATTACAATAACCTAATTTAAATGGTCTCTTTGCTCCCCATTCTCCATGTGATACAGGTTTTTTAAAAAATATTTTTCTGTTTTTCTATTTTTCTATCCTTATGTTTTGCATCTGTGTACATAAAAACACCCATTTAGGGGCACCTGGGTGGCTCAGTGGGTTAAAGCCTCTGCCTTCGGCTCAGGTCATGATCCCAGGGTCCTGGGATCGAGCCTCACATCACCGCTCAGTGGGCAGCCTTCTTCTTCCTCTCTCTCTCTGCCTGCCTCTCTGCCTACTTATGATCTCTGTCTGTCAAATAAATAAATAAAAAATCTTTAAAAAAAACCACAACACCCATTTAGTTGACTTTTGTTTTTTCATCTAATCTTTGACAGCCTTTTTAATTGGAGCATTGAGTCCATTTCTTTTTAAAGTAATTACTGATATATTTGGATTTAAGTCTGCTATATATTTGTGCTACCTATTCTGTGTTCCTTTTTCTCCTATTTTTGCTTACATTGGGATTATTTTTTATTATTCACCCCCACCCCATTACTTGGAGATGATGCACTCTTTCATTACCCTTTTTATTGTTACCCTAGAGATTACCAAACACATCCTTATCAAAATTTTAATGGAAAGACCTTTAGGTCATTTCTAACTTGTAATCTCCTACCCTTGGGGCGCCTAGGTGGCTCAGTTGGTTAAGTGTCTGCCTTCAGCTCAGGTCATGATCCTGGGGTCTGGGATTGGAGACCCACATCAGGGTCCCTGCTCATCGGGGAGGTTGCTTCTTCCTCTCCCTCTGCCTGCCACTCCCCTGCTTGTGTGCACTCTCTCTCTCTGTCAAATACATAAATAAAATCTTAAAAAAAAAAAGACACATATGTCAAAGACTATTATACAAAATATATAAAGAACTCTTAAAACTCAATCATAAGAAAACTCAATGATAAGAAAAAATGGATCACTTTAACAGACACCTCACCAAAAAAGATATATATAGATAACAAATAAGTGTATGAAAAGATACTCCACATCCAATGTCATCATGACAATACAAAGTAAAACAACAGTGAAATACCACTGTGCACTGATAAGAATGGCTAAAATGTGGAACACCGGAAACACCAAATGTTAGGACATGGAGCAACAGGGACTTTCATTCACTCCTAATGAGAATGCAAAATGGTACAGCCACTTTGGAAGATAATCTGTTGGTTTCTTATGAAACATACTCTTACTGTAAAGTCCAGTAGTCACACTCCTTGGTGTTTACCAGAAGGAGTTGAAAAGATATGTCCACACAAAAACCTGCACACAGACGTTTATAGCAGCCTTATTCATCATTGCCAAAACTTGGAAGCAACCAAGATGTACTTCACTGAGTGAATGGATAAATAAGCTGTGGTGTATCCAGACAATGGAATATTATTCAGTGGTTAAAAAAAACTGTAAAGCCTGAAAAAGCATGGAGGAAACAAGTGCATATTACTAAGTGAAAGAAGCCAATTCATCCAAACACATAAAATATACAACACCCAGAGCAAACCATAATGTAAATTACAGATTTGGGGTGTTAATGATGTGTAATGTAGTTTCATCAGTTAAAACAAATGCACCACTGGTGAGTGACATTGATAGTGGGAGAGGCTATGCATGTATAGGGATAGGTAGTATATAGGATATTTCTGTACCTTCTACTCAGTTTCACTGTGAACTAAAACAGCTCAAAAAAAAAAAAAAAAAAAACCCAAACCAACTCCTACTCTACATATATGTCATTCTTTTTATGTATTTTCTCTAGACATTTATCTCCTACAAGGTAGTATTTTGTACACTCAGTATTCAGTTAGGATTATCCATTTTACATTATTCATTTTGCTTTATCCTATCTCCCCCCTGCACATCTGACTGTCCATCTGGGATCACTTTCCTTTTACTCTAAGAACAGTTAATATTTCTCTTTGGTGAAAGTCGCTGGTGCCCAGTTCCCTCAGTTTCTGGTTTTATTAAATTGTCTGTATTTCACCCGAGTGGTTTAACTTCTACTTCTGGTATCAAAGTCCATTTGGCAACGGTTGTTTTGTTTCCTTTTTAAGCACTCTAAATACATAATTTCATTTTCTTCCTTTGTGGTATTCAGCTAAAGTTAACTGTCTATTAGTGGTCATTCAGTGGTAGTCTGATTTTTTTTTTTTTTTTTTCCTCTCTGAGTGTTACTCTCCCTATGTCTTGAATGTCAGCCAAGGTTTAGATTTCTTTTTTAACCTTCTTGAAGTTCTTAGACCTTCTTGGCTTACTACGTTTTTATCAGTTTTGTGTAAAATTCTCAGCCGTTTATCTTCAAATATTGCTATTGGCACTTCTTTCTTTTCCTTCTGGAACTCTGATTGTATTGTTAGATCTTTCTGTGTCCTCTGTCTCCTACTCCCTCTCCTGTATTTTCCTTCTTTTTTTCTCCATACTTCAGTCTGGGTGGTTTTATTTTTTTTTTAATTTTTTAATTTTTATTTATTTATTTTTTAAAAGATTTTATTTATTTATTTGACAGAGATCACAAGTAGGCAGAGAGGCAGGCAGAGAGGAGAAAGCAGGCTCCCCACTGAGCAGAGAGCCGATGCGGGGCTTGATCCCAGGACGTTGGGATCATGACCTGAGCCGAAGGCAGAGGCTTTAACCCACTGAGCCACCCAGGCCCCCCCAGTCTAGGTGTTTTTATGACCCATCTCCTGATTTGCTAATTCTCATTTCAGTTATGTATAATGTTATTAAACCCATCTATTTAGATCTTATATTGTTTGCTTCTGGAGTTCTTTTTTTATTTATAGATTTCTTCCAGAATTTACAATGTTGTCTTTTATCTTTCTTGAACACAGTAAGCATGATTATGTATTTGTTTGTCTTCATTTATGCTGTATTATCCTGCATAGGCATGGTTATTTTTTATTATGTCCAAATAACTATACCAAAAAGTTGTCTGTAGAAATAAGTTCAGGCCTAGAGTGATACCTTCCCTCAGGGAGTTACTTTAATTTGCTTCTCTCAGATGGCTGTAGCCACTAGAAATCTGGGATCACCTCACTCCATTTTCAATTTTTCAGATAATCTAAAGCTGATCTACAGTCTCTGTAAGGGCTTGTATTCTTCTAGTTAACTCTTCTATCTAGAATGTGGCCCAGGGGCACCTGAGTGGCTCAGTCAGATGGGTGTTTACCTTAGGCTCGGGTCATGATCCCAGGGTCCTGGGATCCAGTCCCACATTGGGCTCCCTGCCCAACTGGGAGCCTGCTTCTCCCTCTGCTGCTCCCTCTGCTTATACTCTCTGTGTCAAATAAATACATACATGTGTGTATGTGTGTATGTGCATGTATCTATGTATGCATGTGTATGTGTGTATATATGTATATGTATGTGTGTGTATACCTTTTAAAAAATGGGGGGACAGCTGGGTGGCTCAGTTGGTTAAGCGTCTGCCTTCTGCTCAGGTCATGATCCCAGGGTCCTGGGATCAAGCCCCGCATCAGGCTCCCTGCTCAGCGGGAGGCCTGATTCTCCCTCTCTCTCTGTATCTCTGTCAAATAAATAAATAAATATTTAAAAAAAGAAAAAAAAGGTATGCAGCCCTTTGAACTCAAAACCTAAAGCAAGGAGGTGCACCAAGCCCTACTTTCTTGGCGGGTGCTGGTTTGTATGTCTTTGCACTGCACAGCTCTCCGAAGCACAGCCTGACCTCTCAGCCATCCCTTCTGGAATCAGTAAACACGCTCTGAGAAAAACGAGTCCAAATATCAGACTTTTTATTCTGTCTTCCCCTGGATTCTGGTCTGCTTTTTCCTCACTGTTTTGCTGGTTCTTCATTTAAAAATTTTTAGCCCTGCTTTTCTATTCATCCTCAAGTACAGACTTGATCCTAATGATCTAGCCCATCATAGCTAGAGCAGAAGCTCCCATTTGATACTTTCGTTCTCTTTATATTAAGCCCACAAAATTTAGTCCACTATGTTATGGACCAGTCATGTCTCTAGAGAAATGTCATTCTCTCTCTTTTCTTTTTTTTTTTTAAGTATCTTTGAGTTGTTTAAAAAAAAACAAAACTTAGTGTTATACCTGCATTTCTGAAAGTAGTCTCTAGTTCTTTCTATCCTTTGTTTTTTAAGATTTTATTTATTTATTTTAGAAAGAAGGAGAGAGCACAAGTGGAGTAAAGGGCAGAGAGGGAGGCAGACTCCCTGCTGAGCCGGGAGCCTGATGCAGGACTTGATTCCATGACTCTGGGATCATGACCTCAGCCAAAGGCAGACACTTAACCAACTGAGCCACCTAGGCACCCTGAAAGTAATCTCTAGTTCTAATAAATATACTAGTAATCTATTGCTATGTGACAAATTGCACAACTTAATTAACAAACTGTACAATTAAAACAACATTTGTTGTATCATAGTTTCTGGGGGTCAGCAATCTGAAACAGCTTAGCTGGGTGGTTCTGGTCTCTCATGTAGTTGTAGTCAAGGTGTAGGCAAGAATTGCATTCTTAAGTGAAGACTTGATTTGGGGAAGATATGCTTCCAAGCTCACTCATGTGGTTATTGGAAGGCCTTGGTTCCTTCCTGGCCATTGGTTGGAGACTAATTCCACACCACATGGGCCTCTCTGTGGGTTCCTCATCAGGGCAGCTGGCTTGTCCCAGTGTGAGTGCCCTTGAAAATAGAGTGAGTAAGAACACCCAAGATGCAAGGTTTTTGCTGTGTGTTACTGGTCACACAGAGCAACCCTATGATGTACAAGGGGATTCACAAGGTGTAAATATGAGGTGGTAGGGCTGATTGGGAACCATCTTAGTTCCTGTCTACCACATTAAGACATTCAGAAGGAATTGAATTGTTCTTACATACAAAAATCTTTTGGCTTGTTAATAAGAGCAGACAAGAGTTAACTCAGTTAATTTCACTCTCCCCCTGCCTCCCCCCACATGGATAACCAGCCCCAATTCTTATAGTAGTTCCTTGTATCCTGTGTGTTTTCTTCTTACTGATCCAATTGTGACATGCTCTATCCAGATTTTTCTGCAAATTTTTAAACTTCTGGGTCCTAAGTTAAAGTTTATATTAAGAGTATAGCCTCTGAGGGCACCTGGGTGGTTCAGTGGGTTAAAGCCTCTGCCTTTGGCTCAGGTCATGATCCCAGGGTCCTGGGATCAAGCCTGGGATAGGGCTCTCTGCTCAGCAGGGAGCCTGCCTGCCCACCCCCCGCCCCACCTGCCCCTCTGCCTACTTGTGATCGCTGTCTGTCAAATAAATTAAAAAAAAAAAAAAAAAAAGAGTATAGCCTCTGAAGCCAGACTGCTTGGGTTTAAATCCTGACTCCTCTACTTACTAGAGGGCAAGTCACTTAACTTCTCTTTTCCTTACATGTCTAGTCTGTAAAGTGGGGATAATGTTAATTCCTTCATAGAGTTGTTGTGACAATTGAGTTAATGCATGTTAAGTTTTTGAAAAATGTACAAAGTAATGAATAATGCTTATAATAGCAGCTATTGTTACTATCATTGCTGGTTTTTGTCATTGTAAGTATGGTAATATTTCTCCAGTGTATTAATAGTATTTGCCCCACTCTTGCTTAAACCTAGGATGATTATTAGTTGTGGAGTGTGAAGAGTTCATAGGTGGTGCTAATGTGAGGTTAAACATGAACCCCTTTGGCTTTCCCATTAGTTGGAAATGGGAAAAAAAAAAGGCTGGAATATAGTTGGAATGAGGGGAAAAAACTACATTTTTTAGTTGTTGGGATGGAGTTTCTGTGGAAAAAGCAACATGATGTGTTTTACAAGTGGAAACAGTTATTTTGTAACAGCTGCTTATGTCTTCCAATGTTAACATTTTATGTTTCCAGTTTATAAACCTTGTTGATAATTTGATAAAGAATATTTAGCTTTTTGTAGAAAGTATTGAAAATCTTAGAAATATGATCATATTCTATAATGTTAACAGGTTTAAAGGTAACTTAGTTTTTTAGCTCTTACCCCAAATAAGTTTCTATACTATAATTTAGATTGAAATTACTGGTTTTTTTTTTTTTTAAGACATCCCAGTGAAGATCTATTTTATGTTATTTAATATTCTTTCATTGAATTATGTTACCTGTTTTCTTGTTATAGCACTCATATTTCTTCAAAGAAAACCACTGTTGACATATTGTTAATTTTGCCTGTTGATTTGATTATTTACATTTAGAAATTATATTGTTTTGAAAGTTGAAAATGTGATGATTTAATGACAAATCAGGAAGAATTAATGTGGAAATATAATTATTTTCCTGTCCTGAACTAAATGTATGGATATCTTTCTTTTGTTTCTTTAATAGATAGCAAACAATAAAGATGCATTGAGGAAGACATGGAACCCTAAGTTTACGTTACGAAGTCACTTTGATGGCATTCGAGCCCTTGCTTTCCACCCCATTGAGCCTGTTTTGATAACAGCATCAGAGGATCACACATTAAAAATGTGGAATTTGCAAAAAACAGCCCCAGCCAAAAAGTGAGAATATTCTACTTTAACTGTATTTGAGTATTTCAATTATCAGTTTTTCAGCAGAAAAATACTTAAATTATTTGTTATTAAATCTCTCAATTTATCAAGTATCTCCTCTAGTTCATTCTTCTTTACCATGTCACATAATTAGAATTTTTCCCTTCATACTCACAATCTGATACTAGGTTGGAAAACTGACCCTGAAAGAGAAATGGTATTATCTGATAGTTTCCCAGAGTTTCTGAATGCTTTTTACAATCCTTACAGTGTTTTAAATGGTTGTCATATTTGTGGAGTCTCTTATCTATACCAAAGGTTTCTGCTGTTGTTGTAAAGAGTTGTAGGCATGTTTAAAATAATCAAACCCCACCCCAACCCTGTCCTGTTGTTTATTAGGTTTTAGACTTATGATGTAGAATGGAGGGAGGAAAGGCTGATTGAGAGGGGTGAGGGACCTCTCTTTGATTTTGTCTTTTGGCCTTGACCCTTTAGTACTTTCCATACCTACCAGAATATGTAGACAGAAGGGCACTGTTGTCACTCTTCACTTAACTGCTGTTTCTTGCCTTGGCCCCTTGGTTCCTCTGTAAGCATGAACGACATGAGTTGGTATAAACTCTTTTATCAGTCACCATGCTAATCTTAGCCCCACTTGGTGGGGTACTTACTGAAGGTCCCTCTCCTTGTGTCCTTGAATCAGGTGGCTCAGAACCCAGCATGTGCTAACAAGGGCCCTTCTCTAGTGTTAAGCACTTCGGTTATTGGAAAGGTAGAAATGAACAGGAACTGGAGGACATTAAATAAGTTTTTACTGCTGTTAGAGGATATCTGTTGCCAAGTTTAAAAGAGATCAGTGACTCCTGCTGTGAGTCATACATGGGCTAGATAAAATACTTGACTTATCAGTCTGCATCAGGTAGCTCAACCAGATCTTGCTAAAACCAAGAGAATCGTCCTATGGCTCAGGTATCTTCAGCAGAGAAAAATTATTTCTTCATTATAAATTGTGCCTTTTGTCTTCTAGTTCTCTAGTCACAATGGGCATCTCATTAGATCAGAGAATGTGATGTCTTATATAGTCTTGACTAAAACTTAGAGAAATATTGAAACAAGTGTCTTGCTGGTGATAGCTTAGTACTAAAACCTTCACATGTAATTACATGGCCTGTTTACCTGTGAGCTTAATATTTTGGAAATGCTTGAGGAGAGAAATCATATGCCTATAGAAAAACTGTAATACAGTATAATAAATGGTAAGTAATTGACTTTAAATCGAGTTTAAATATCAGGCAGTATAGACTATATATACATTCAGCATTCTGAATAATGAATAAACTGATGATTTGGGCAATTTTTGCAAGTATCAAGGACAGACATTATTAGCCTTGATGGAAATGCAAAGAAATTTAAGTACCATTTAGTGAAATCCTGTTACATGCATGGTTCTGTCCTAGGTTGTTTTACTTGTAGAATTTCATTTAATCCTGTGAGTATTTGGTATTACCCCAGTTTTTTTCTGTTTTGTTTTAAATAGAGAGGAATCAGAAGTTCCAAAAGAATAAATAATTTGCCTGGAGTTAGCCAGTTAATTGAATCCAGAAATGTATCACCTCAAAGCCCATGATGTTCTCTGAGTGTGGCTCTCTCGAGTAGTCAAATAGACTATGACAGTGCTAAGAGCGCATAAGCAGGTATTATTACTAAACAAAGATTGTGTTTCTTGAGGCCACAAAAATATGTGATTGGTATCAGGCAAACTTTCTTAAGTGTCCTAGGTTGAGAATTGTGTATTACCACAGTGTTGGCATTTCTGAAGGCAATTTTGTGGCATATATTCATTGATACTGTTTATTACATTGAAACTGAAATGTGGAGTGGTAAAAATCCTCTCTCTCTCTGATTTAGGAGTACTTCTCTTGATGTGGAGCCTATCTATACATTTAGGGCTCATAAGTAAGTATGTGCTTTTTCTCTGTTTTAAGTCAGCATCAGCATCACTGTACATCAGCCTGATCAGAGTGTTTTATTTTCTTTCACTTACGTATTTGTGTTACATATTTTTTGTATTTAGTAGCGGTTTTGGGGAGGGGTTTGGATTTTGTTTTTTGTTTTTTGGTAAATGTAAAAAAGATAGTACAGTGTTAAAGACAATTTTATCACTACTAGAGATCCTTGCTGAAATTAAATTTTATTTGGATAATGTTTAAATGTTATATATCTTGTGCTTAAAATAAGTTGATGCGGTAAGGTTTAAATATTAAAAATCGGGGCTTTCTTTTCCCTTAAAGATAATATAGATAAAAATATGAAGAATTTTTAAATTATCACATATGCATGCTTTTCATATTTCCAGGTAAGCTTAAGAAATATACTAATTCACTTGATTTAGCACAGAAATTGGCATATTATTTTATATAAAGGGTCAGATAGTAAATACTTTTTCAGCTTTGTAGGCCATGTATTTTCTGTTGTATGTTCTTATTTTTAGCTTAGTTTTATAATCCCTTAAAAAATGTAAGGACCATTCTTAGCTTGAGAACTGTATAAAAACAGACCATTGGCTGGGATTTGGCCCACAGGCCATAGTTCACCAATCTCTGTTTTAGCAGCAGAAGAAAAATGAGCAGTGCTTTTATACTGTTTTTATTCATCGTAGAAAGCAGAATAATAGAAAGACCTGTGAATAATTAAGCGTTCTTATTTCTAACAAGTCCTATTATCAGATTGATTTTTGGGAATAGAAATTGATTTTTATCTCCCAGAGGTCCAGTGCTTTGTGTGGTAATGAGCAGCAATGGTGAGCAGTGTTACAGTGGTGGTACTGACGGACTGATCCAGGGCTGGAATACCACCAACCCCAACATCGATCCCTATGACTCCTATGGTAGGTTTTCCCCTGAAGACATGAAAGAATAGATTGTTTTCTTTTTACATACTTTACATACCATATATAAGGATAAAATGAGATATTTTAAAAATAAATTGGTAAAAGGGAACAAGGTCTTTATTTTGTTAAAAAGGATTCTTGTATTTAGGAAACAATTTGATATACATATGCTAAAAGAAAAAAGAAAAAAATGTGTTATTCCCGAAAAACCAGTTCCTACCCCCCAAAGTTCCATTGATTGGAAATGCTGCCTTGATTGACAATTGTTTTCTTCATTTTAGGCATCTGTACATTACTTGATACATTATTACTAATCTGTAATCATGTTTCATTGCTATTGCTACATATTCATTACTATTCTTGACAAACAACTGAAGGAAAATTGAATGTTACTCATTTATTATTGGAGTGTATAGGAGCTAATGATTTTTAAACTTTGTGACACCAAAAAACTTGAAAGGTCTTAAAAATTAAGAAGCGCCCTTTTATTCTCGGGAACGGTACCATGAAACATAAATCCACCTTATAATCTGTCACTAGATGTTACCATAAATTCTCTTGCAAAAACTCTTTAGGAATTGACTGTTTTGGTTTCCTCTTATATTAAATTCTAGAATGGTGTGGAGTGTCATATTTCTCCTAAAACCATATTTATTTTCATTTTCATTTTAGATTAATTTTACCACCAAACCTAAGTAAAGATAAGAAATTCAGTAAACAAAAAATTTCGCCAACATTTATTTAATAAGCATGTGACATATATTTTGTGAAAGGTAAACCTCCTCTCTGTTTTTCCTTACTTCCTTTATCTATCAAGAGGATGAGCTGTCTTCATTCTGTTTCAGGCCAACCACCCTTCCCCTTTTGCTCTTGACCTCATTCTCTCTTGTTTCTTTTGAGACTGCATTTCATTCTCTCTGGCTCTGTCTCATTCTCATCTTAAACCTTGCCCTCTTTTCTCTCTTTCCATCCCCTCAGCATATAAGTAAATTTAGGTGACTCCTATCCCCGGCAAGAAAAAGCCTTTCCTTAACTCCATTTTCCTCTTTGGCTTCTGTTTATTCTCTCTTTCCTTCCTCATCTGTGTCTCTTTGGTGGTAATGACTAGAAAACACAGTCAGGAGCTACTAATTCCATGCCTTTCTCCTATGCATCGTCCCTCTGCATTCTGGCTCTTCCACTTAACTATAATAAGATTATCAGTGACTGTCTAATTGGCTGATCCAGTGTAAAAGGGGTATTTTACGGTCCTTGTTTTACTAAATGTATTGGCATCTGAAACTGCAGACCACTCCATCCTTTTTGAAATATGACCACTATTGGCTTTTTTGACACTGAAGTCTGTGATAGTTTCTGTTTTCTATCCTTCATAAACTTTTATTTTTCCCACCTTAGATATCGGCATTTATCGAGACCCAGACCTTATTCATTCTTTGCTTTGTACAGGTATTTTTTTGGTAAACTGAATCTACTTGTGTGGTTTTACATGCTGCTGACTCATAAATGTCTTCTTTAAGCCTCAGACTGCCTGCAGAACATTTCAGAGTGGCTGTCTCATTGTCCATAATCCCCACAAGTGCTGGGTTTCTTCTCCCATGTATTCCTTATTAGATGATGGCACCACCAGAATCACCCAAGCTAGAAACCCAACAGTTAGCCTTTTGCCTTGTTCTGTTTACTATCCACACTTTATTAATTACCTACTCCTTTTGATATTACCCCATAAATATTTCTGGAATTTGCCCCTTCTGCTTTGCCCCTTTTACCACTGCCTTCTCTTGGGTCTACATCATCACTCTCCCAGTATACTAAAGCAGTCCCTTTGCCTTCATGTCAATTCTCTCCAGTCTGTCTGCTACACTACAGTGAGGCTACCTTATTAAATACATATGTCACCCAGCTGCTCCTGGAAAACCCTTCAGTGGTTCATTTTGCTTTCAGAATAATTTACGAGTACCTTAAAATGTCATAGAAATCCCACCTCAGAGTAGCTGCTCTCATTTCATCTACTTCCTCCCTCAAACTTCACACTTCAGTAAATTTCCTCACGTCATGCTTTCTGTCCTTCTGTGATTTTATTGGTGCCAACTCCTTTGCCAGTGGTGGCTTCGTCTAGTTTTTGACTGGCCGATGCCTGTGTACTCCAGGTGTCACTCTCTCCGGGAAGCTTTCACTCACCCCAGTTACTCTCTGGAAACTGGTGTCTGTCACCATTATTATATTTACCACAATGTCTTTTGAGACCAGGACGGTATTGTGTCTTAATTATCTGGGTGGCCCCAGCACCTGACATAGTGCTTGACACATTGTGTTCTCAATATTTTATGGTATGACAGAGAGAAGGTAGAGGACAGATACCATTATTGACATTTTAAACTTGTGTGAGCCAGCTTCAGAGTACTGCTTCGTAGAGTCATTGCACAGAAGAATAAGGAAAATTTCCACTTGGACTCGTATTATGAAACGGTGCTAAGCGATCCTCTTCCTCTTTCCTCCCTCCCTGTCACGCACATCATTCACATGTCAGTTTTTGCTATTTGAGTATTTGGGGGTTCCTTTAGGTCTCCGTTCCTGTCCACCCGGAATAGCAGAGGCCTGTTGCTCCCGAAAATAACTGCCATTCCAAGTGTGGAGGTCAAGGGGGAGAAGTGTCCCAAAGGAGCCAGGGGAGGAAGGGATCTCTGTTCACTTCCTCAGGGAAGACTTGTGGCTTCTCTGAAGGTGGATAAAATTCAAATGATGTGTGTTAACATGCTTTTAAAAATCTAGACAAATTGAAAGAAAAAAGGGAGGAGAAAGGGAAATACCTAATTTTTCAAAGGAGAGAAATATATACTTAAAATTTTTAATTTATAAACTCTAGACTCTGCATTTGTGTATTTCCAAGCCTCTTTTTAGTTATTGCAGCATTTCAGAAGAATAACAAACCAGAAAGCATGTTTTATACTGTTCTCAGGCAACTTGGTCTGTATATTAAGTTTCTCTGGGATCTAAGTACCATTAGAGTTTGTTTCTTTTCTCTTGATTTTGCATTCTTGCTGTTTTGTATAGATCCTTCTGTTTTAAGAGGCCCTCTTCTAGGCCACACCGATGCCGTCTGGGGCTTGGCTTACAGTGCAGCACATCAGCGCTTGTTGTCATGTTCAGCAGATGGCACTCTCCGTTTATGGAATACAACTGAGGTTGCTCCAGCCCTAAGTGTATTTAACGATAATCAAGGTACATACTTTTTAAAAATTATTCTAATGAATTTTTTATAGGACATCTTATTGTAACAGTAAGCAAATAAATAAGTAAGTGATTCTACAAACTGTTTAAATTTAATTTGAAGGGGTGTTTTTAATCAGTGAAAGTATATTTGCTTGAATTTCCAGCTTAATGATTTTTAAAAGCACAATATTTGGTGAAAGAGCACATATTAAAAATGTTTTTTTCAAAATCGAGATATAATTTATATACTGTAAAAACTACATATTAAGGATATGTTCTGTTGAGTTTGACAAATACGTGGCTTTTGCACCTATCAAGATCTAGAACATTTCTTTCACCTCTTCAAAGTTTCTTTGTGTCTTCCCAGTCCCTCTTCCTGTTCCATTCAGAGGTACGATTTCTTTCATCATAGATAAGTTTTATCTGTTCTGAAATTTCATGTAAGTGGAATCATACAGTGTGTACTCTTTTTGTATCTGACTTTTTACTTTATTATGTTTCTGTGTTTCATCCATGTTCTAGTAAGTATCAATTTATTTAGTTATGATTCATAGTATTTCATTAAATCAGTGTATGTATTATTTACCTCTTGATGGACATGTGGGTTATTTCCAGTTTTTGACCATTATGATCAAAGCTGCTGTGAACATTCACGTATTTTTTTATGAGCTAATAAAGAGCTGGAAGTAGAGTTGCTTGGTGTTAGAAATGGTATTGTGTATTTAACTTTATGTGAAATTACCAAGCTTTCCAAAGTGGTTGTGCCATTTTAGACCACTGACAGCAGTGTATGAGAATTCCAGTTGTTCTACATCCCTAATTATTAACACCTGGTGTCTGTTTAGTTTTAGCCATTCTGGTGGGTTCGTAGCAGTGTTTCATTTTGGTTTTTAATTTGCGTTAGTTTGGTGACTATTTTGAGCACTTATTTTGTGTGTTCATTAGACATTAATCTTACATTCTTCTGTAATATACACATTTTGGAACTGTTTGCTTACTTTAGATTTTGAGCCAAATCAAAAGATAAGATTTTATTCATGCATATCATTCTATTCTGTTTATAAATACACTCCAAGTTTAACCAACTTTTACCCTATTCTAGATGATAAATGAAAATACCTTCTTTATTTTTGAGCTGTCATAACTCATGTCTGGGTTTTGATGAGTTACCTGCATCTAATATTTGTATGGCTCTATATACAATAATAATAATACTGATTTGAAATTTTACTTTTTTAATTCCGTATTTTTGGTGAATTAAAATTCGTTAAAGAGATGGGCTTTTAAAATAAAGAATTCCTATGATGCCAGTTTAAGCTTCAGGTTGTGTGGAAGCAGCAAAACTTATAGTCCATACATATTTTCCATTTAGTTTCCCAGTAAAGGCCTGCATTCTGTGAATCTTTTAGCTGAGTAACAGGTAGAAGACTTGGTGAACAGGTAAGAATAATAAACTAGGCTAGGGCTAAAAGTAACAGAAATAATCTCCATTGAATGGCTGTGAGTTAATTTTTATTCTGATGTTGAGTCTACTTCTTAAGGAAATCTTGTGACTATTTGTTTTGCTATTTTATGTGGACATTTTCAAGTAGACCCTCTGATCACCATTCTCTGAATATGTTCTGACTCTCTTAGAGTTGGGAATCCCTGCCTCTGTGGATCTAGTGAGCAGTGATCCGAGCCATATGGTAGCATCATTCAGCAAAGGTTATACAAGCATCTTTAACATGGAAACACAGCAGCGCATTCTCACTCTAGAATCTAACCTAGACTCAAGTATGTATACCAACTTTAAATAGTCTTTGTTTGGATCAAACTTTTATGCTTTATCAAAATTATAAGTACCAGAGTCAACTACAAAAAATACTTGTTATTTTAAAGAGTTCTTGCCTTTTAGATCACAGAACACAGTAACTTAGAAGGATATAATGATTTACAGTTGATTTTAAGATTTTGGGTAAAGTTGGGGTGCCTGGGTGGCTCAGTGGGTTAAGCCTCTGCCTTCGGCTCAGGTCATGATCCCAGGGTCCTGGGATCGAGCCCCCGCATCGGGCTCTCTGCTCCGCAGGGAGCCTGCTTCCTCCTCTCTCTCTCTCTGCCTGCCTCTCTGCCTACTTGTCATCTCTATCTGTCAAATAAATAAATAAACCTTAAGAAAAAAAAAAAAAGATTTTGGGTAAAGTTTAAGCACATTTATACTATTTGGAATAGCATTTGAGCTGTTCCAAAGAGGAATCAAATTGTATTTTATACCAAATGGTTGGTTTTCAATTCTATTTGAAGACAGTAATATTTATTCTGAATATAAAATAAATCATTTTCATTTCTCATGATTTTTTTTTAAGGTTTTATTTATTTATTTGACAGAGAGACAGCAAGAGAGGAAACACAAGCGGGGGTGGTGGGAGAGGAAGAAGTAGGCTTCCCACTGAGAAGGGAGCCCAGTGTGGGGCTAGATCCCAGGACCCTAGGATCATGACCTGAGCTGAAGGCAGACCCATAAAGACTGAGCTACCCAAGCACCCCTCATGATTTCATTTTTAAAACAACTTAATTTTGAATTAATAATGTAATTTGACACAGCCTGATTAGAATATAGATCAAGTTGTGCCTCTCAGAATCTCAAATACAAAGCTTCTTATCGGATCTAGAAAGTAAGGAAATAATTTCTCAAATTGTGAAGAAGATACTACAGAATTTTAGCGTTTTTGGCTCCCCCTCCTCCGCTTTTTAAAATTTATTTTGTTATTATTTTTTTATTAACATATAATGTATTATTAGCCCCGGGGGTACAGGTCTGTGATTTGCCAGGTTTACACACTTCATAGCACATACCTTCGCAATGTCCATAACCCCACCATGGTTTTGGCTTTTTAACCATTGTGTTTTATCTTTTGGCTTCATCCAGACAGTGATAATTTAGGATGCAGTTGATAAAGAAAACTGTGTAAACATATACTATTGTTTTAGTCTGAGAACTAATTCTTTAAAAAGAATTACCACAGGATGCCTGGGGTGGCTCAGTCGTTAAGCGTCTGCCTTCAGCTCAGGTCATAATCCCAGGAATGATCCCAGGGTCCTGGGATCGAGGCCCACATCGGGCTCCCTGCTTGGCAGAAAGCCTGCTTCTCCCTCTCCCGCTCCATCTGTTTGCGTTTCCTCTCTGTGTGTGTGTCTCTTTATCAAATGAATAAATAAAATCTTAAAAAAAAATTACCACGGCACACTCATGTGCTTCTGTGTCTATGTGTGTCTTTCTGTCATTCTCTCTCTCTCCCTCCTTCTCTCTACTTATTTCCTCTCAAAAATTTCCCTTATTCCATTTTGGCTTTCTTCATTTTCTCTTCCCAATCTGTTGGCCTTTGTTCTTTTCTGAGATCATGTGAGAATTGTTTGGGAGGTAGACATGAATAGAGTTTTGAACTATTTGGATGTAAAAGAGAGAGGCAAAAAAATAAAAACTGAGATTATGGAATAGGAAAAAGAATTTTTTTTTTTTTGCCAAGAAACATAGGCTGTAGACTGTCAGTAAATTTAAACTCATTTAAATATGTGACCTAAAGCTTACAGTAGTAAAATACAGAAAACAATATAAAACTAAGAAAAATGTGAACATTTTTGGAATTACCTTCAGAGTTTGTGGTCAATTCATTGAATGTCCTGAGTGGTAAATATTGATTTTTAATGACTGCTCTAAATTAATATGATGTGAAGTCTGGCAATTTCATTTTTTTCCTTAAATGTGTGACTATAAAGTCATATAACTTTTTGCTTTATACTAGAAGCATTTTCCGAGGAAAACTGCCAAAAATGTTTTGAACAAAGCAGCATTATTAGAATAAGTGATAATTATTTGAGTTATGATAATATGTCCTGATATTTCCTAAATTATCAGTTTGATTACTTTAGAGTTGTATGATTTAGTCTTTTACTCCTTTCTATCATGACTACCCCTACCTATTTATATTTCACTATGTTCTTCTTTTCTGGAACTTAGCAGATGTTTTTTTAAGTTGAAGTTCTGACCAAAAATGTTTCAAGGTAACAACAAATTTCATACAGAATTTCATACATATGTCTGGGTGGCTCAGTTGGTTAAGCATCTGCCTTTGGCTCAGGCCATGATCCCAGGGTCCTGGGATCAAGTCCCACATTGGGCCCCTTGCTCAGCGGGGAGCCTGCTTCTCCCTTGGCTTGCTGCTCCCTCCCCCCTCTCCCACAAATAAATAAAATCTTAAAAAAAAAAATTTAAAAAGATGAAGGATTTTTGTTTTAAAAATCAGAATAAACTAGCTTTCTACTCATTAATGTCAATGGTCATTTGACTGAAAAAATCAAAGGTAATTAAAGCAGGTAATTGAGTACTTGTCCATCGTGAAAAGTAAACCATTTCTAAGTTGTAAGCTGAATATGAACACTTGGAAGATTTAGATTCATTGTTAGAATGATGATTGGTAGGCCTTCAATTGATTTCTGATGTTCTTTGCCTTTTGCTTACTTGTCTGATGTACCATTAAGTGGAGAACTTCTTGGAAATGTTATTATATAAAAACTCTTGCCTACTTCCATCATTTGATTTCTATCATAATTATTTCCTAGATCTCAATAGAATTGAATCTATTCTCAGAAACCTCTTTCTCAGAATACACGGGATATTTTACTTAAAGTATTTCTTTTCTGTTACTTTCCTGCTAGATCTTACAGAGGATATTGTTTGTGGTATGTTAGCTCCTGAGGGGAGGAAAATATCTGTATGCTGAATTTTAAAACTAAACTCTTTGCTTAGGACCATTTAAATCAAGTATAACTGACCCAGCGCTTATTCTACATGGTCAAGTGACTTTTTGTTTTGTTCTTAGATAACAGGCTGGGTGGCCCCTGCCATTAACACTGGGAAAAAAACTACCTTCAGTTTTTGAGAGGGGGAGGGAGGGAGGAAGGGAGAGAGAGACAACGAGCAAGCCGGTAGGAGGGTCAGAGAGTGAGGGAGAAGCCTACTCTCTTCTGAGCAGGGAGCCTGATGTGGGACCCCCGATCGTAGGACCCTGAGATCATGACCTGAGCCACCCAGGTGCCCCCTATCGTCAGTTTTTAATATGTCATATTTTTAGGAACCATAAGAAAATCTAATTGAGTACACTAATGTTACAGCTATTTTCACCTATATTTATCTGTATTTTCTATTTTGAATGTAAACTCATAAAAACTATTCTGAGATTAGAAAAAATTTTAACTCTTTTTTGAAATAATTTTAAATATGCAGAAAAGTTTCAAGAATAGTACAAAAACTAGCTACCCTTCACCCAGATTCACTAGTTTTTAGCATTTTGCCACATTTGTGACATTTGCTTTATCACTATCTATTCTTGTATAATTTTAAATTCTGAACCACTTATGAGAGACATCATAGACTTACACTTCTAGATCCTTTAGCATGTAATTCCTAAACACAGGGACATTCTCTGACATAGCATATTATCAAAATCAGTAAATTTAACAGTGACACTATGCTGTTGTCTAAGTTATTATTTATATTCAAATTTGCCAGATGTCCCAATAATGTACTTTACAAGAAGGGCATCCTTTCCTCTCCCTGGACCATGACATGATTTTTCTTTAACTTTGATATATCTTAAGTTAGTATTACCTTTATATATATAGATTTTTTTCCTTTAAAAGAAAAATAAAGCATCTTAACAAAACTCAGTAATATAAAACTTTTTTTTTTTAAGATTTTATTTATTTATTTGACAGGCAGAGATCACAAGTAGGCAGAGAGGCAGGCAGAGAGAGAGAGAGGAGGAAGCAGGCTCCCTGCTGAGCAGAGAGCTTGATGCAGGGCTCGATCCCAGAACCCTGAGATCATGACCTGAGCCGAAGGCAGAGGCTTTAACTCACTGAGCCACCCAGGCACCCCTAAAAGGTTTTTAAAGATTGATTTCCTTTTGATAAAGGACTTTCAGAAGGGCTTATTGTAGTTTAGGTACCATTTTTGGCAGCTGTGTGATTTCCGTGAGCCACCTGGTTAGGATAGAGGTAGAAGTTAGTTTGGGATTGGCTTTGTCACATGATTTTGGGGGAATCACAACTTTTTTTAGATCTTGGTTCATGCACTGTGGTATGGACTTAATGACATGTGGCCTGCCTGTCTCATTGTGCATATAATTGAAATTCTTTGAAAGTTACTATATAGTGCACATAGTAGTCAGGATGCTATTTTAAGATTCCAAACCTGGTAGACTATCAAATGAGGATAATTTCTATTTTTAAGTTTTTATTTATTTATTTTAGAGAGAGAGAGCGTGCACACATGTGCATGTGCCAGTTGGAAGGAGAGGCAGAAGGAGGGGGAGAGAGAGAATCTCAAGCAGACTCCGTCCTGAGCACTGAGCCTGATATGGGGCTTGATCTCATGACCCAGAGGTCATGACCTGAGCTAAAATCAAGAGCCAGACACTTAACCAGCTGAGCCACCCGGGTGCCCAATGACCACTTCTTTTATGATGAAAAAGAGATTAAAGAGCTCAGAAGATCTCTTTGTCATATTTGTCTTCAGATGATAACCATGTGATAACTCTATCTAGAAAGAGTGACAGTTAAATTTGGGTAGCATCTACATGTAAATAATTGTAGAATTTTATTAAAGCAGCAGAAGTATTACAAGTCATCAGTGACCCTAGGCTAAGCCCTGGGTGGCACCCGTTGCAGGTGGAAAAGAAAATTCTCATTTGTACATACCTCTAGATTTGTCAGTATGGTATTGCTCAGGCAGTTCTTCTTTCCTAACCTTGAAATTATGAATAGTCACAGAATTAAATGAATTAAAGACAAGTTAAGGTCACATGATTTACCTTTTTAGTTTCTTGGCTGAGTATTCTCTTGTATGAAGAAATAGTAGCCTTAGCTACCTTGTTGCTCTTTTTTTTCCTTTTTTACAGCCAACTCTTCCTGCCAAATAAATAGAGTCATCAGCCATCCCACTCTTCCCATTAGCATCACTGCTCATGAAGACAGGCACATCAAATTCTACGATAACAATACAGGTGAGTGTTTATTACAGAGTGATCAGTGATAAAGCAAAAAAGAAAAAAGAAAACCCCACCAAAAACCAAACCAAAAAAACCACAAACAAACCCCATCATAAGTATCCTGATTTGGGTATTTCTTTAATGGCTGTATGTCCAGGAGTAGGCATGGAAACAGATACCCTCCCAGCTCAGTTTTTCTTCATTCTGTCCAGATCTGCTAAGAACTAGTCTTCATGATAGCATATAGCATCATCTTGGTTTATTTAATAGTAAGTAGATACTATGTTTTGGTCCTAGAGCCAAGGTTATGACTATGGACACAATGAAAAGGTCATTCAAATAGCAATAAAATTGATCTCTTGCTGTGAATATGTTGGGGGAAAGGAGAAACATGTTAGAAATAGAGGCATATGATCATTATATTTTGTTTTAAATTGTTCAGTGTTTGAATAGTTTCAGTGTTAGAGATGGAAACCTCTGAGTCATTTGGTTTACTTGATTCAGTTTTTCATGGACTACTCTTTTCTGTATTACAATATTGACTATCTGATCCTGATTGATTTGAATTAGGATATGTGGGCTTTCCCATTTTTTTTATTGAATTGCGTTTTACTAAAGGAAAAATCCTGAAGACCTGTGTTAGGAGAAGGACACTCCATATTAGCAGCCATATTTATCTATCTGCTTTTGACTTTTGCTGACTTTGCTTAGCTGTGAGTGATGAGTAGTTTAATATTTTAATCCCTTTCTATATGTTGTTTCCATGAAAATCATTGCCAGGTTTTCTTTCCGTTCCTTTGTCTTTGTTTCAGTCTCTTCTGTTCTCACAACCCACCTAATTTGCCTGTAGATAAAGGATGCAAAGTCGCTGATTAATAACGTCTGAGTCTTAGTTAATGAACATGGCTTAAAGGAATATTTGTGTAGAAATGACTGACTTTTCTGTTGTTATTTGAAAGAAAAAAATAAAATCCGAAATTTGAGCTTTCGTTTCTCATCATTACCATGGCTGCAGTGGGGAGGGAGATACATTGTTTTAGCTGTTATGGAAAAAGCTACCGATGGAATAACTACACAGAGAGGGGTGACTGGAGAAATCAGTGTAACAAGGTAGCTAACATATAATCGGGGATGAGGAAAGCTATTAATAAAAAGTAACAATCTCTTTTTTTCCAAAGGCAAACTCATCCACTCCATGGTAGCCCACCTAGAAGCTGTTACAAGTCTAGCAGTTGATCCTAATGGCTTGTACTTGATGTCGGGCAGTAAGTACATCAGCTATAGTTTATTTATTTATCCTTACTAGTTTCATGTTAATGTAATGTTTCCTTTCATTTTTTTTTCCCTCCCTCTTGATGCAGGTCATGACTGTTCAATACGTTTATGGAACCTAGAAAGTAAGACGTGTATCCAAGAGTTCACAGCTCATCGGAAAAAATTTGAAGAATCAATTCATGATGTAGCTTTCCACCCATCCAAATGCTATATAGCCAGTGCTGGGGCTGATGCACTGGCTAAAGTCTTTGTATGACACAATGCATCATCTTCACCTTCTAGCTCTTTATAAATAATCAACTGCACAAAAAGAGATACAGAAGACCAGGGCAAGAATCAGCCTGTCTTGCCCTTTTGTTCTGCTGAAGGAGCACAGAGAACATTTGTTAAAGTATAGTTTTGCAATTCGTATACTGTTTTCTAAAACTAAGGTTTGTTCCGGTTGCTGCAAGCTCAGCTGAATCTATGAGCCTGAAAACTGTTTCAAATTTTCCCCCAAATAGGAGCTTTTATTTCTGAGGTGGTTCTAATTCGCTAGGCAGACCTGAGCGAACGTAAGTTTAGCTTGTCCCTCTTGAGTAAGTAGGGCACGCTATAAAGGATAATTAAAAAGCTTGATGACTGGGAATGAGTGGAGGAAGAACAGAAATTTAGACCTAGTTCTCCCTTCTCCCCTGAGAAATCTTGTTAAACACATTAGGTAGTCAAAACAATAATCTTGACCATATCTGCTGTACTAACCCCTAAGTGCATAAGGACCAGGCAGTGTTCAAATGAGATTTTAATTTAGCTCTTCTTTCATCTGTGCACATAAAGCACCTGGCAAAGCATTTTACCTGTTAAAGGAAAAAAAAAATGCAATAATATGTTAAATATATTATTATTCAGAAATACTAAACAAATATTTAGTTTGTAAGCAGATTTCTATATTGTATTACATTTTTGAAAATAGATTTGGTATCATTGTAAAGTTTAGCTGCCAAAATCAGTCATTATGAATAGTTGGTAGAGTCTGCTTTTACTAAAGGATTTAACTTATTCAGGTTTGAGATTCTGTTTATTTTTAAGGGCAAGCAGGGCATATCTTTATAATAATTTCTGTTAATTTTAAAAATTCACTTTATTCATGTGATATTTATAATACCAGAGTGGTTATCTCATATTGATGAAATCTTACCTTTCAGTGGTTTGAAAAGACAGAAGTTATCTGTGAGTACTCATTTGTCAAAACCCACATATCATGCTTCAGATGACCTCTTGCTCTTTCTTTGTCTCTCATATTCAAATTATCTGACATCTACTGAAAAGAGTTTATAATTATTGTGTTTTAACAGCCTAGAGGGTTTGGTTAATGTCAGGCAGCTGCTTTTGCAGTACTAAATAAAGCCAACTGTTTGTACCCCAGAAGTCCTCCATTGGTATATCCAAGGGGAATCCCCCTGGAAATCTAGATGGAAGAGTTCAGTGCATAACCATAAGCTAAAGAGTTCTCTTTCTCTCTTCCTACCCCTACCCCTCCTCCATTCTTTAATTGGAATACACAGCATGTTTTAATAGGCAGTGTATCAGTGCTGTTTCTGGGGAAACAACTATCCTAAAGAACCAGGCTTCCCAGAGCTCACCTCGCCCATGACCCACATGTGCAGCTCTTGGGATTCCCATGACCCCACTCTTTGGACTTGTTGTATAGACCTTATCCCTACAACTGTCTCACCTGTTTTTACAGTCTCTTGTTTGCCACAAATGTCAGAGACCAATGTAGAAATTAGAAATAAATACTAATGCCCGATGTTTCAGCAAAATGTATATGTAATAGTTCTCAGATTTAAAAAATCCATATCCATAAATACTTTAACCTTTTAATATAATTCCTACATTCCTATCTCCACATATTCCATTGTCATAACAACACTTCTGATGATATGTATATCTCCTCCTTGAAAACGTATTCTTGCGGTGATAGGGATAGCAATTGACAATTTTTCTTTAAAATTTCTGTTTTCTGCCTCTAGAGTTTTGCAGTATACAGGCAAATTTTCTTTAAAGATGTGTGCTAGATTTGCCGATTGATATACAGATATGCTTTAATATTTTGACACAGCTACCTTGTCTTTACTCTGTGCTTTGGTTAACAGTGGGCTCAAGGGACTCCTTTGTATAATCAAATGACTTGACCTGGACTTGAGCTACCAGGTGATTGTTTATATTATTCCCATGCAGATATAGAATTCCACATTTTGTTTGGTTCATTCCTCTTTTGGTTCTTCAGTGAGTGAAAAAATGGTGTTGCTGACCTAACATTTATAGAAGTATACTGGAAAATTCCAGTCAGGTGCCCTTACTTGGAGTGTTTATGACAGATGAAGAGATTGTTCTACCAGTTACTGCTTTAATTACCTCCCAAGGTCTTCAGTGCCTGCTTCACTTTTGTCACTGAGATTCTCAAAACCAAGACATTCTCTTCCCCTGCATTTTATACCTCATGGTTGAAATTTTTCTGTTAGTGAAAAATGACCCATGAGATATGTAGACTATAGTGCAAATGATGGAACTGTTGAAAGTTCTTTAGCAAGCCAGTGCCATGCCGTTGGAAACTGTACACAGAAACAGAGATTCTTCTCTACTAGCACTGTGTGATCTCAGCCTAGAAATGAGCCAAAGCTGTCTTCCAACCTGATAGAAGCATAGACATGTGTCTAATTCCCCCCCACCCAGCCTTTTGAAAATTTAATGAAAATCCACAAAATGAACAAATTCAAGATTCAAACTGTCATTGAAATGCTTTCATAGTGCTTGGTTTGTAAATATTTTGGATGAAATATATTGGGATAGTATGAAAATCAGCAGGAGAAATAAGGTCCCTGCCTTATTTTCATATGCTGTGGATACATTTCTGGGAGCTTGCAGCACCCTTTTCAAAACCCAGCTATCATATGGAGCTCATTTGCTACTCGAACCCTAGACAGATATTTAACATAAGTGATATAATGACCTTCAGTATTTTTCTATTGAACAAGTTTAGCAATTTTTGCCATTAAACAGATGATTAGTTATGCAAAGTATTTAGCTTTTATAATCATTTTAGTTATGACTAAAAGGGGGAAATTATGCTGCATCACTGATAATGAACTTTGTGAAAAATTTTTTGTTTATCTGACTTTCATTCCTTCAGTATTCTTGCTATAAATTTCTTTTGGAGATAATGATAAAAATTTATTTGAAAATGTCTAAAATGTATGTATATTTTATAAATATATATTATATATATTTTAGGAATATATATAATATATATAGACTATATATATATACATATATATGTATGTGTGTGTGTGTATATATATATATATATATATATATATACATATATATATATAAACCATAGGTGCATTTTACTGTTTTGTATTTTGTTTTTAGAGGTAGTGTACACCGCAGGTAATGATGAGTATGGTGAGTGTTGTGCTGTTTGCTTTTGCAGTATAATATATAGTTCTAAATGTTTAAATTACTGTATATATTATATTCATTATAGGCTAGCATGCTTGTTTTAAAGACTGTCATTCTAGTTTATTAAAATCTGAATGTAAGAAAACCTGGCTATTCAAATGTGAATTGAAAAATATTCCATTCTCAGTACTGAACTATTTCCATTGAACATTCAGGATTTTTAACAAAACAGATATCATCAAGAAGGCAATAGCTAGAGAATGAGAGGTGCCTTTAAATAAAATACAAATGCAGCCTTACAGTGAGGATGAGAGTTGAGTTGTGGGGGTTGGGGGGCTATGAGAGAGAGAGAGAGAAAGAGCACGCGTGTGTGCGTGTGTGTGTGTGTGTGTGTGTTTGCCAATCTGTGACGGTCCTGATTTGTGACCATCAATGTCTTCAGTGTATCTGCTCAACTTCTAGGATTTCAGGGGACATTTCATGCGTTGTCTTTGTGCTCTTCTGAGCACCACATGTACTTTCCAAGGATTTTGAATGTGAATTCCTAGAAATTTTAGTAGAGAGGAAAATAACTATTCTTTCACTATTGTCAAGTTCAGGTAAAAGGAGAAATTATTGGTTCACCAAAATGATGGGATCTCTTAAATGTTGGCTAAGTAAATTAATTTTTTTAAAATGTGATTTTTAAAGGCCCTCTTTTTTAGGACTTCATATATTTCCCTCCTACACGAGAGCATGTCATGAAATTCTTATGTGATGAAGATTCAACTAGTAAAAATTATTTTTAGATTAAACACCTGAACTAGTTAAAATACCACCTAAGAATAGTGTTTAAATGACATCTATCATATCTACCTCTTTGCCATTGCTGCCATTTTAACTAAAGCAAATCTTTATGACATCTGAAAATGATGATTGGATGCAATTTAAAAATCTATGTTGGTGCTTTTCTCAGGCTTTGTCATTTAAGTTATATTGAACTAAGATGTCACAAATCAGATTAAAAGACTTAAGAGTTTTGGTTTTCTTTAGAAAGAACTGCTTAAACTTTATTATCAAGGTTGATAGTGAGTGGATAGAGTTAAACTCTGTTTAGTATATGTCTGATATTTTCAACCAAAAGCCAAACTGTTACTGAATTTACATGGAGAAAGAGCTCTAAGTACAGTTTTCTTCAGCTTACTTTATTCTTTGAACGCTATTTCAAGGCTATTAAGTACATAATCATTAATTTTATTTACTCAGAAGTTGCCTTTGTTACTATGTTATTTGTCTAGTTATTTATATAATTGTAGTACTTTATGTGTTTGACACTGGTATTCAGGTTGTACAAAAGTAGTAGCTGACAGAAATTATATGTGTATTTTTGTGAAATGTATCAATTCTAGGAGGTCCTTTTAGGGTATGGTCCAGAAAACATGTCCTTCTTTAAAAACAAGGGACAGGCCATTGGTAAATGGTTTGAATCATTTTTACTTTCAGAACTGAAAGTTTTTTAATTGACCATATCTGTCATCCAGCTGGACCTCTGTGTCAGTGTCAGGGACACTGACAAAGCATTTAACAGATAACATCAGTTTTGTTTTGCTTTTGTTCCATTTTTGTTTTTGTTCTTAATCTTAAAAAAAAAAAATTCAGGCCAGAGATCCCTAGATTCTACTTATTTATTCTAGCAGTATTCTTAAAGTGGTACTTAGGGGTCAGAATTTTCTGGATCTTTGCTAGTCAAGCTTTAGCTTTTATTTAACTGAGACCACATGCTTGTCATCCCTCTGATGCAAATTAGAAAGTTCATTTTAATTTAGATTAACTTTGATGTCTGCCTGGATTTTTAACAGGCTGTGAACCAGTGAGTGCCTTGTTAATGTAGAACGATTTTTCCCTGGTTGCTAGCTCCTTTCTGAGAATGTCTCAGAGAATGGTATTTTAGTTGACTTGTACAGATTGCTAAATTTGGTATTATCAGCAGTCAGAAGGCCTTCAGTCTACCGCATACCTGCCTCCCTGCTTTCTTCTCATTGTTTGGCTGAAGTTTGCCTCTTGTGAGAAACAAATACAACCCCCTCTCCACACACTTTTTTCAATTCAAATTAAGAGATATCCCCTATACCCATCCCAACTGTATGATCTAATATCTGTTTTTAGGAGGAACCACTTTGTAATCCTGAAATCTACTGGTTACTTTATGTCTTCTCAACTTCCGTTTACTAGTGCTGATTTCAGGGCATCATCAGTTCAGTTTCCTAAGTAACTCCTTTTTTCCCACACACCCAATTATCCACCCCCCAACTGGTGAGCCCTGGACCATATTGTTTGATCTTCAGGTATTTTTAAATTCAGTTATATCAATTAATGTAAATTAATCCAAATGCTAATTTTTGTGGTGCAAGAAGTTTCTTTTGTAAATTCAGGGTATGGATAAGCTAATTAAGATATCTTTTTTTGGTGGCTCTAAGTGTATTATTTGTTTTTAAATAAAGTGTACAAATATAGATAATGTGCTATAGGTGTCTCATGAATTGAAATATTTTGGAATCTAGTGGATTTGCAGTTAAAATAATACATCTTGATTTTGGTTTTTTGGTGGGGGGGGTAGGAGAGGTGTGCAGAGAAATAAAAGGGGTATTAGAAAAAGTAGATGGGGTCCAAAGTAATGAATCAGTCTTAATTACATGAGAAAGGTAGAGAAATTTATCATTATAGAGTTCGAACCTTTGGAAAGCCAGTAAAATTAAAATACCCTGTAAGATTGGGTCAGTGATACTTTCAGGGACACATCTATTTTTTCAAGTGTTCAATTACATATTTTTAAAAAATTATACACATGTAAATTTAGTCTGTTTTTATTTTTTTGTTTGGCTACTTAAACATAACCCTTCCCCTTCCCCTTGCTTTTTCAAATCAACATTATTTTTCAAAGTCTTTTCTCTGCCCATAACTCATAATCTCTTTGTTCCAGTCTGAAGCCATAATGTTGTGTGGAATCTAAGAGTGTCCTTGAAACTATCTGCTATCCTTTGATATTTTGTATGCTTCTGTAGTAATGAGTGTTACATCCTTTGTCATGGACACATTTTTCAGTAGTGTCAGAAATATCCCTTTTGTTCCTTTTAATGAGAACTGAGACACTTGCTGGAGTGATTTTAGAGTAATCCAGTTCAGAAGGTCAGGAGGATGCTCATGGATGACCCCCTGGGGTACCCCGGAGTGGTATTCTGACCCGCATTGAATTTCCCTGCACCATCCAGAGTTGTTCTGGCACCTAGGGTAGTTCCCAGGAGCACCTAGGAACAAGTCTGGTAGCGCTGTTTAACCCAGGCACCCTAACCATGAAGCATCCCTCCA